AGGTTTTAGAGATAATGCCTATGGAAATTATCTTCATGGTATCCCATTTATATCTAAGTGATGTCATGTTATGGTATCATAATCAACATTGGTCAGTGAACACCTGGTATAATATATAAAAATATCACATTACACTAAAAGGTATAATGTGCCAGTTGTGTTGATTAATCCCAATGTTGAACAAATCCATTGCGAAATACCAATATAAAACATCATTATTAAGTACCTATTTCCAAATGAAGTAATTAACTGCCCATGTCCAGGAGATACGAAGAACAGCAGTTGTAATGGGCAGAAAATATGGTTAGATTGATCTGTATACAGCCGGGCGGGAAGTAGAACGCCTTGAAATGTTTGATGATTTGGTAACGGGCTTGGCCAAGAAAATATTCAGATGTTATACGTGGCTTAATAATATGCTCTTTAGATCTTTAGAAATTCTCCTCATTTTAGCATTCAAAGAACATTAATCGTAAAAATACCTAACAACAAAAAATTTTTAGATATTTAGTACAATGAAAAAATAAAGAGAAGCAGAAGCCAAAAAAACCTAATCATGACCTGTTTTTAACTGCCACGGTCAGCTTTATAGACGTATAGTACCTACCTACATATCCTAATATCTATTCTCCCCCAATCATCGTTACGTACCTACATGTAGTTACACTTTTTCACTTATTGTGGACGGTGACGATCAAAAGATTACACTGTCGTAACGTCATATTGATAAAAAGAAACAAATTCATCTTTTGTAATTGGGAGAATATCAGAAATTCAAACTTGGAACCTAACTTCAATTTATTTTTGACGTATTTTCTTTTTGCCCGATAGAAATACTTCAAATTTGAAAATAATTATTTGTAAGGAATGTTTTCACATAGGTACAGGATAACCAATTTCGGCAGTATTCTGATGTTTCTAGCTAGATTATAAACAGGTACCTACCTAGCATTTAGGCAATGATGAGGGCTGTTCGTAGAAATATTCGCAAGCACGGTTGACGCGGTGGTAACGCAACGTGCCGCGCGGTTCGATTCCCGCATGGAACAACTCAGGATCTGAGTGTTTTGTGAAATTGTAGGTATGTACGAAAACGCACACGGGAGAAAATCCTAGTGAGAGGCTAGTAGGCTACGAACCTAAATAAGAAAATGTAGGAAAAATAAATAAATACAAAAACGGTAAGTAACAACTGGCGACCCGGCCCGGCTTCACACGAGTGCAATTTATTCTCATACCTACTCAATTATTTAAATGGAGGTTATTATACCTACTTATAAACCTTTGTCTTCAATCAGTCGTATCTATTAAATATATCGCATCAAAATACGTTGAGATTTAAACGTAGGTACATAGGGATAATTATATTAGCTAGAAGGACAGAGAAAGCTCCTGAGCAAAGGCCTCTTCTCACACGGAGAAGGTTTGAGCACTAATCACCACGCTTGCTCAATGCGGGTTGGCGATTTCAAACTTATAATTAGAAATTATAAGTCCAGGTTTCCTCACGATGTTTACCTTCACCGTATGTCAGTGGTGTCTAAATAATCATAGAAAGTACATGTAACTCGGAAAAAGTCACATTGGTACTTGCCAGGTTTCGAACCCGCACCCTCATGCATGAGAAGCGGGCGCCTTAACCTCCGGGCCACCACGACTTATAGAATAAAGCTACTCTGTTGTAGTGAAACTGCAGATTATTGTCCAGTCCAAATTTTGAGTTTAAAATTCATTTTATGTGTGGTACCTATCAGTTTATGAAATTTGTGAAATAGGATATTAAACATTTTTGGTTTACAGGTGGCATTTTGAACGAGGGACATAATCAAGGACCCGACTCTGGCGCTCAAATAAAACAAGTTTTACCATAAGAATAAGACCAATGTGGATACTTACCCCAAATATTATTTTACTTCTCCGTGCAAAATGGAAAGTAGATTTGTATGGGGAAATAAACTTAGTTTCCAGATTTCGATACTGGTCCCATGGAAAAAGTTGTTATAATTGAGCACCAAAATCAGCCCCTTGAATAAATGTCCCTCGTTCAAAATGTCACTTCTACCTAGTTTATTTTTATAAACAATAAATTAAATTTATTTATTTCAGACAACACTGATCCATATTTTGTTAGTATTACAAAAGACTTATATCCTACTTTTGAGGCAGCGAGCCTCCTAGCCGGATCCCCGCGCTGGGACCTCGACGCAAAGCTCCTCGCGTCACTCGTAGTATCACACTCCACGCGTATTGGTGGCGTGCGGAGGCAGTCGGGCGGGACGAGCGCCTGGTGCCTCGACAGGTTGAGGCGCGCAGGGCAGAACTCCGCCAGGCCTTAGTGGCGGAGTGGCAGACGCGTTTAGCGCAACCCACGCCGCTATAGCGGCGGTAAGGCCAATTCTAGAGGATTGGCTCAGTAGGAGCCACGACGCCCTCAGCTTCCGGCTGCAACGCAGGTGCTTACCGGACACGGGTGCTTAGGGCAGTACCTGTGTCGCATAGGCCGGGAGCCGACGTCCCTCTCTCGAGGCGGCGGCGCCGTGTTCCGCGCGCGCCTCATAGTGGAGTCCTGTGCACGACGGGGCCCGCCTTACCATCTGGCGGGCCAATACCCGTCGGGGGGCGACGAATGCTTTGGCGATACCCGTCCCTCCGACACATGGGTAAGTGGAGGAACACCGGGTTGGTTTTTAGTTAGTAAGAGTCTGACAGTACCCTTCGCCCTTCCCCTAGGGCGATGGGTCTCCATGAGGATTTTCCAACCCGATACCAAAAAATATTATATATATATATATATTTGGCGTATAGCTCTCCGCCACCGCTTTCAGGATATAGTTGCCACTACCCCTCACTCTGCATAGCAGCGAAGAAAGCCATCTGTGTAGGACTCAGCAAACATTTCCGAGGTGCTGCAGAATCGGGGCAGTCGCAACAAAATCCTTAAAACATTGCTATACTGAATACGTAGGACATCCAGCGACCTTTTAGCATACTCGAGCCACAGATTGCCCGTGTAGAAACTCTGTCAATAGGCCTTGAAAAGAGTAATCTTTACCTGATCAGAGCACCGAGCAAATCTGCGGGCCAACATATTACCTCTGGCCGCCAGTGCCCTACGCTCCCTCTCAATGTCAGTAGCATCTTTAAGATCGTCAGTGATGTAATGTCCAAGATACTTGAATTTTGACAGTTTATAAGGAGGATTTAGTCTAATGAGTTTCGGTATAGAGTCTGGAAATTTACTTGCAGCCATAAATACCATATATTCACATTAAGTATGCTACTTTATATTAACAATTAGTTGTGGTTCTTACACTTAGGTAAGTTCTAAGGAAGTATTTGGTCTTCTTAAATACATATCATTTAAGTTGTCACGTAATGAAACAGCTGTATAATGGCCCAGCTGTACATATTAAATGAATACATTTTTTTGGGCTTAGAATTAACAGAGAAATGACATGGGGTAGAATAGATGCCACACATCCATTGTAAGCACAGAGTGCTGCGATGAGTTGACACCAGCTACCCGTGATTTTTTTATTCGATAGGTCGAAACGAGGACTCCGATTAACTGATGGTAGTGCCACCCATGGACATCCGCAACACCAGAGGAGTTACAAGCGTGATGCCTTCTGAGGATGAGGGTTTCGGAGATTTAAGGAATGGGGACGGGTAGGATTGGGCTTTCCTTTCCTATATAACTAACATTCACAGAACTATTCCAATACTTCCAAAAAAGTATCCCAAACTAAGCAACTATAAGGCCTACTCAAAAACAACTACTCTGTACTCTGTTCAAGAAAAAGTAGTATTTGTACCAATTTTCAGTACCTACCTAGTGGGCTCACATAATGCTCAATTTCTTCTGGAGAGGGCTTTCTGACAACATTGTACAGTTGTAGTACAGACAGCAGTTGTATTTCTTCATAGAGTTATGAAGTGTGAACGGAGGATGGGGGGGATATAAATGGTGCTTGGATAGACTCATTTTTAAAATCATTCTCTGAGCTCTTTTTACCATTATTATTTTAGTTTTGCATGCTCCTCCCCAGGTCGTCATGTAATACTCTATCATAAATTGCACCAAAGCTTCGTACACCATTCAACATGATCGGGTTGTCTGCCACGTTACGGAGCCCTTTGAAAATATAAGTGAGTTTATGTATTTTGTTAGATATTGCTTTTATATGGTCTCCAAAAGTTAAGTTACAGTCAATTTCAGTTCTTATGTACAGTTTGTAAGTACCGGCTAATATTGGGACAGTTACATCTTACAGTTTGTGATTGGGAGAAAGTTACATACGGGCATAAATGTGGTTGGTAAGGTTGGAGAACACAACATATTTGGGTTTACCTATATATTGCTCAGATATATAATACAATGCCAGGATCGAAATTTTACTCTTCTTTAGAACTCAATCCCACATCAAAATGCCGTACGACATAATACCTGCTGTTAAAATAACTAAAATAGTAAAGGTTTTCTAACTGCAAGCAGCTCTGCTTGATCTCCCTGAATGAACGCGCCTTTATGTGGGCTGTTTCAGGAATGGAATAGTTTTTAGATAAGTCCTAAGTTTGACTCTTCCTCTCAACCTAGAGAAGTAATATGATGAACTTCCGCCTTTTCCAAAAATAGCTTCCAAAAGCTGCGCTCTTCCTTCGAGCTTGACGCGATTTCAATGATTTGTTTACTTGGTCACCAGCATTGCTCGAATTTATGCAACGAGAAAACCGTTTTTATTGTTTAGATTGCTAGGCAGAAGGCAGAATTTGTTGTGTATACATTGTTTTGCCCGGGGTATCAGTGGCCCTTACTTATATCTTTACCTACTATTTGCGGTTAGGTTATATCGGTATACGTTACATTAACAAAGTGATCAAAACAATAAAAAATATTTGACGGTTGACTATTATTCATAATCTTTACATTCCCTAACTACAATAATTACCAGACCAAAAAAAAAAAACAAATAAAATGTTGACACTTAATCAAAAGTTACCGGTTTTGTGCAACACTAGCCGGGCGTGGTGAAGTGCGGCTGCGCGACAATCGCGTTTTCGTTTTCTCAATGAAGTGAGTAATGGGACGTTGTTAACGTTCTTGTTTATTTATTTGAATTAAACTTATTTTAAATGATTTTACTTCAATTACAGTGAGTTTACATATTTCTAGGTACACAGTAACGTTTTAGTGCAAATGTGGTTGCGTTGTTTGCTTAAAATATAAAAGCGGAGAGTATCCATGGGCGTTGACTTCAGGTTAAGAGAATTGTTAACTTTATTATTAAATTAAAAATAAGGTTAATCGAGTATTAAACTCGTATCTGTACTTATTGAGCTAGAATTTGGTTTATGAGACCGGTGTTATATAATTAACTGAACTTTTAACTGACAATAGTTGGTGTTTATGTCGGCCAACGATTGTTGCTAATTCGAATCTCGAATGTAAACTAACTAATAAATAATTGCCAATAAGATAGGATTTATGAATTGTTCTTAAGATTCGAACGTAACTTTGTTATTATTAAGTTTTTGATTAACTTAACATAAAATTTACCTTGACAAAAACAAAATATTATAAATTCCTAATTTTTAAATTAACTGTAAAGCTGTGTGATCACTTGGTGTTTCTAAAAAGCACAACACAATACCGTTTCGCAGCATCTTATAATTGAATATTATGGATAGTTAGATGATGGTTTTCAGTTAAAAATAATAAACATTCTAATTGGGATAACATTCCTTTTACAATGTGCTAAAACTTCTTCTTTCTTTGCAGGCAAACAAAATCCAAGACTGAATTATGAATCTCTTAATATTAACATACATAATATGTACAACAGTATTAGAACTATGCACATCACAAGATTATGCATCTCCTACATACAATCCAGATTTCAGTCAGACAAACCCAACAAATGATTACCTCAACTCTGACCCAAAGTATGACAACCCATATGATCCAAACCGGAGATATCAAAACCGCAATCAGAACTATCCAAACCAACAATATGATCCCAATCGTCCTTATGACCCTAATAGGAGTCAGTATGACCCAAACAGGGGTCAATATGATCCTACTCGCACCCAATATGAACCAGATCAGAGATACAATCAGTTTGAGAACCGGAATCCAGATGTGAACTACAATGTGAATCAGTACACTCCTGAAAATACTCCTAGACCATCCTGGGATAGCAGCAGGACATACAGTACTTCTTTTAAGGGTGCTCCTTTGGAACATGAGAGTGTCATTATCAATGAAGCGTAAGTTGAATTGTTACTTTTCGCAACATGTATTATATATTAAATTACTTCTACATATAGGCTTAGAAATCCAATAATTCGCAACAGGTTAAGCACTATTCTATTAAATCTGCTCTATTAAAAAGATTCTGATGTTATAAGGAGTCTGTCTAGTGATTACATCAATCAGCACCTCTCAGTGTCTACTCTGTGTCTTAAGGACACATCACTTACTTCATAATTACCCATAGTAATAAATGTTTCTTAAAACCTGGTACTGTCCAACACTTATCTTATGAATAAAAGCCTTCTTATAGACTTAAGTTAATACCTGACGACTTAGTTTGAAATGTAAACATGAACTTATTTTACAGAACATACTTTATAGTAGCATCCAAGATGGTGCGGCCTGGCCAAATATACAAGATATCAGCTAACATCCTGCAGGCACGCATGCAGATGACCATCAGAGCTTCCATTTCTTGCAATGGAGTGGAAATTGCTGATGTCAACCAGAGAGTCAAGGAAGGAGTGCCTGAGATATTAAATATGAGGGTGAGTTTTTCATAAGGTCCCAAAAACATATTATATTGACTCATTCTAAACTCAAAAAATATTGATGACAAAGAAAAAGAAATTTTCTCAATTTTTAGTTAAAATATAGTACCTAAAAATCTATACGTAATCTTATAAAGAGAAGAGTTTGTTTGTTTGAATTCACAAATTTCAGGAACTATTGGTTTGAATTGAAGAAATATTTTTTTGCTAAATAGATTAATTATCGAGGAATGCTATATAAAATCACGCTACAATCTGTTGGAGCCGAGCAGCGGGTTTAACCGCGCGAGAGTAGCTAGTAATTAATATGAAACAGGTTATAATAAAAAATTCTTCTATAGGTACCTCCAACTACAGTGCCAGGAGATTATAAGCTTCGTGTTGAAGGCCTGTACCTGGATACACCGTTCGGAGGGCGCGCCTTCGTCAACGAATCTCAACTGATGTTCTCCAGGCGGTTCATGACTATATTTATACAGATGGACAAACCAGTCTACATGCAGGGACAAACTGGTGAGGATATGACATTTTTTTTTGAATTATTTGTCAATAAACTCACTTTTTATGTACTATAGACAAACAAATTAGGAACTGAGAAGTTTCACTCAAAGATTGCAGTATGATTGTATGAAAAGAAAACAGTAATACAATGAATTCCACAGTTCAATGTTAGTGAATCTTCATACTTCAACAGAATTGTTTTTGTTCTTAATTCTTATTTACTTGATACCTGGCAAAAAGGCAAACTGATCATGGGACCCTAATGGCATGCATTTTAAACGTTGCTCCACATTAGGATTTTCTCCAGTGTCGTGGGTGCATTAATAAACATACAATTTCACATACACACAAACATACACCATCACACAAAGATTTGTTCCATGCGGGCATCGAACCCGCGACATGTTGCGCGGCATCGCCCAGCCTCTGTAACCGCGCAGTCAAACATTGCTACTAGGGTTACATTAATTGAGACCAATCATATTTATATTCTTTGTTTCAGTTCGCTTCCGAGTGATTCCCATAAACACGGAATTAAAGGCATTCGGGCGAGCTATCGACGTGTACATTCTCGATCCTAATGGCCGCATCATGAAGAGATGGTTATCCAGACAGGTGATGTATCATTTTAGTAAAGAACATTCTTAATAACCACTTTAGAATTGTAGTTGTTTCCAATATCTAAATAGATAAAACTATTCTAGGATTTGGGTAATATTGTAGCCCTTCAGTAAATTATTAGACGTTATTATTATAGTGCTTAGGTGCAAAATCTATTGAATATTTGCTGCAAAAACACGGCTCGGCCGAGGTGATACCCACACCCTCACAGAAAACCGGCGTGAAACAACCTTATCGGAGGCCTAATCCTTCTCCAATCCCTAAATCTCCGAATCCCTAATCCCCAAAAGATCGGCAACGCACTCGTAACTCCTCTGTTGTTGCGGAAGTCCATGGGCGGTGCTGATTGTTTACCATCAGGTAATCCGTGTGCTCGTTGTCGACCAATCACATAAAAAAAAACCCCTGTAAGACTCCTGTTATTTCGCAATCTTGACGCCATTTATTCATAATGAAGGTTGATAGGATCACAATAAGTGAATAATGTTCTATTGTGAATTTGTGCCATACGATCGGATAGGCTTATTGGGATCAAGTGGATGCCATTGTTCCATGCAATCTATGTTCCGACGACACAAGATATCTTACGACGTACTATAGGTATATATGAGCGAGCCATTCTACAAACATAGTTTGCGGTTTAAAAATATAAGATGCATAAACACTGGTTGAAAAGTACAATTTAAATTATTGCAACAACCATTGGCTCATCACCCAAGGCTCAACTGGTAGAAAATGTCTAAGGCGTTAAGTATGCCTATGCGCTTGAAATTTTTATAAATGAACTAGCTTTTGCCCGCTACTACGTTCGCGTAGAATAGTGACTTCCTGCAGATTTTTGGCATAAAAACTATCATATTTTATATCTGTACTAAATTTCACAGAAATCAGTTCAGTAGTTTAGGCGTGAAGAGAAGACAGACAGACAGTTACTTTCGCATGTATAATATTAGTATAGATAAGTAAAAGTATCTAACAGGGAAGAGCATTTTGAATGTTGGGTATAAAATACTTGTCTACATTTTAATGGCGACAAGAAAATACTAAAGCGTGTTTCAGCTAATACAATGCTTCAAAGTTTAAGGTCATTGACTCATTCGACCATTGAATATGTAGAATTATTCTAATTAATTGCATAATGTATTGTTTAAAATATTAGTTTAGTAGTCATTTACTTACTAAGCTGTGGTCGAAGTAGTTGCATTTCCTTAAAATTGTATACATAACAGAATTATTGTATACAAAATATGTATAAAATACTTTTTGTTGTCTGTTTACTCGTGTAAATCTTTGTTAATTTTAAATATTAGTAGTTATATAGTAATAATTTAATGAAGAAATGGTTATATACTATCTTCTTACGGCCGTGATTAAAATAACCGATATTAATCCAAAATCTATATCGATTTTTGTTTTTGATACATGTAACTTATGTCAAAAATCAATCGATTTTGGATTGAGATCGATTCTAAGGTTTCGCCGTTAGATTAAAAGTATTAACATAAGTAAGTAGAGTTGAAAATTGTATGCTTATATTTCTTTGTATTTGTACAGAGTAACTTCGGTACAGTGAGTCTGCAGTATCAAATGTCGGACCAGCCTCTCTTTGGCGAGTGGTCCATCCGGGTAGAGGCATTGGGACAGATTGAAGAGACGACATTCCTTGTTGAAGAATACTACCAGACCAGATATGAGGTATGTATAAAATAATAGAAGATTTTGTATAGAAGTTAAAAAAATATTTATGTAAATATGTATACAGAACAGCCAAAAAGATCCAATCCACCATTCTTGATAAACAACTATATTCCTATCCAGGTCAACGTAACGATGCCAGCGTTCTTCTTCAACACGGAGCCGTTTATTCACGGCCGCATTATGGCGAACTACACATCAGGTGCGCCGGTGCGAGGCAACCTGACGCTGAAGGCGACCATCCGGCCTATTCCGCAGTACCGGCCCAGGTACTACACCCAGGGACAGTTCAATAACCGAGGACAGTTTGGAGTCCCTGCCGGGTATGGAGGCAATCAGTATACTAGAGGTAAGGATATGTTCATTTAAGCTAGTTTGTACATAGATTCTTTATTGTAGGCTGATGGACCATAGAATATCTATTTGCAATTTAATGAATATGATTTATTCACCTAATCCATTCCATAGTTTATAACAGAGAAGGATGATTACCTTTTCCAAGAATCATATTATAGCGATAGTCTTTACGAAGTACCAATAAAACAAATATAGTATGCACTTCGATAAATATAAATAATTCACATTGAGCTTGCTGCCGCCTCAATGTGACCCTGTCCACTCCTCGGTCGCTGCCACGTTCAAACGTTCGTGTAAGTGAATGGGTTCGTGAGGAACCAAACAAGCTACAAGAAAGGGAAGAAAAAATATAATGAAATCGTTTTTATATTTATAGAAATACCAAATAATAAATTAATTCATGTATTTGTCCACAGTTCGTCAAAACTATCCATTCAACAATGGCTATAGCAATGGTTACAATAATGGCTACAATGACACCAACTACCAACAACAGTATGACAACAACTATGGACAGTCGTATATAGACGAGTATGGCAGAGTTGTGAACAAGGAGCCGCGCTATATACCGGGACAACCCAACCAGTTGGAACAGCCTGACTGGTGGTACGACCCACAGAAAGTGGTTACTAGGATGTTTAACTTTGTAAGTATGAAGCTTTTAACTTAAAAATAATACATATCACTGTATCCTCTAGGTGCAGTTAGAATCCTATAACAAATATAAAAAGACAGATTACAAGTACACTTTATTTATAGATAAGTAAAAAATGTTGATAATTTCTGTAACTTTGCTAGTTTATTACTTTAAAGTCAAAGTATCTTCATAAATTAAACTCGCAACATTCCGGAACTTGTTTAAGACTTTGCTCCATTTTCACAACATACAGAAGATTTTAATGTTCCTATATTTTCATTTACAGGATGAAAAGTATCCATTTTGGATGCCGAAGCCGGACCCGACTCAATACGCGATCGAGCACAGCAACAACAATAACAACCCGAACTACAACACGTACACCACTACGACGACATACAACAATTACTACAACAATCCCTACTACGATCAGTTGCCTTACTTGAGATTTGTAAGTATATATAATAATTTTCCTTCTATTTGCGACTTTGACGCCTGAATTAGTCTTTGTGGAAGAGCCGTGCTTCGGTACGAATGGGACGACCAAAGTGAAGGTCAAGGCCTTACAGAAACCGGAGTGAAGCGTTAATACGCGCGTTAAAGCGCGATTACGTTTTGTTTCGCCGTGTGAGTGTGATACTGAACGCCCAATCATTCCCCTCATCCACTAGCCTTAAATCCCTAATAACTCACAAGAGGCCGACAACGCACTTTTAGTAAACTCTTTTGGTATTACGAGTGTCAATGAGCGGCGCTTACCATCAAGTAGTCCGCCTGCTCATTTGCCAACCTATGCTATAAAAATGGTTACAAATCAAATGTATGTAGGTATGTGAGTACCACATTATTAAAAAAATTGGTCGAGTTGATGGAATAAAGATGTAATGGGCAAACAGGTAAATTATATTACCCTGCGCCGTTCTTTTGAAACGGGAAAGTATAAGGCCTATAGAGCTTTTTGTTTTAATTAAGGGTATCTAAGTTTTATTTTAACAAAATAAAAATGAGCACTTACACCTTAAGAAAAGTAAATTTAAGGCATTATTAAACTTCTCTGATTGAATCTTTTAGGTCTGTACAACAAATGTTCAAACTGTTTACATTATTTCACAGTTCAACGGTACATACGACTTCAAATACCCGATGTCGGAGTTGGCCCAACTGGTCCCAACGCTGGACGGCGTGGAGGTGATCATCACGGCGTCAGTGGGCGACCCCTTCCTGGACGAGGTCATCGAGGGCTACAGCATCGCTAGAATCTTCAACTCTTCGCTACAAGTCACCTTCCTCGGTGGCACCCCTCAAGTTTTCAAGCCTTCCATGCCTTTTGATGTTTATGTAAGCGACTTTTTTACTTTAAGTATTAAGGAAAATTATTATAAGTATGAAAAGCATAATAAACATAAAGGTCTAAAATTCTGTAAAACAATTAACTATGTATACATTATTACAAAACATGACAATATTTAAATCTATTCCAAGTCATTGAGATTTGATTTACGTTTTTGCAATAAAAAAAAAGTTAGCATTAGAGTTTTTATACTAATATTATAAAGAGATAGTTTGTATGTAGGGGTAATCTTTGGAACTGCTGGTCGAATTTACAAAATTCTTTCATTGATAGATAGCTACAATGTTATTGAGTTCTATAGGCTATAAAAAATTGTAAACACGTATGTAATGGTGTCGCAGATGGTGGTGTCGTACCACGACGGGTCCCCGCTGCCGCGGTGGCAGGCGCGCGGCGTGTCGCTGCAGGTTCACGTCGTCGTGGAGGGACGCGGCGGCGCCGTGGAGCCCCAGCAGCCCACGCTCGTGCCCGGACACGACGCCGTCTGGCATCTCAAGCTCGACCTCTACAAGCTGCTGCGTTAGTATACTACCTACCATATTGCTAAATAACACTATCCTTCAAGTAAAAGATCTAGATTTATAAATCCTAACCCATTTCTCAATTTAATCCATCTTATTTTTTTCTAATTTGGATGACACACTTTTTTGTACAAATACATATAACTACAAATATGTATGAAATATGTTGTTACAGGTCTTCAATCGGACCCGAATTACAGAGAAGTTCTGAATAGTGTGACGGGCGTGCGCCTGAGTGCGCAACTAGTGGACGCCGTGGGGTCCCACGCCTCCGCCGACGTACACTTCGTGGCACACTACAGCGCCAACAACCAACACATCCGCATCGCCACCTCCACCACCGACGCCAGGGTACGTACTCTACACACGGGCACTACAGCGCCAACAACCAACACATCCGCATCGCCACCTCCACCACCGACGCCAGGGTACGTACTCTACACACGGGCACTACAGCGCCAACAACCAACACATCCGCATCGCCACCTCCACCACCGACGCCAGGGTACGTACTCTACACACGGGCACTACAGCGCCAACAACCAACACATCCGCATCGCCACCTCCACCACCGACGCCAGGGTACGTACTCTACACACGGCCACTACAGCGCCAACAACCAACACATCCGCATCGCCACCTCCACCTCACCATATCCACAAATCAATGGTACATAGGTACATAGGAAATATATATTTGTATATTGTAGGTATGTGTAGGGTACGGCGATAGTAAGGAGGCGAAGCAATAAAGCGTCCAGGGTGCACAACAGAAAGTATGAAAGTTTATTGCACACAGAGTACACGTACAGTCATATACACATAAGAAGAAAGCAGAAAGAAGGAGTGAATAGCACAAGCACATTTACAGACAGTCTACTGTTAATACTAGCACTAGCGGCACTAAGAAAGCTAGACTTAGAAAGCACGGTGGTTAGCGCGATAGCTCGAACGAAAAGCTAACTCGAACTTTGTGGTCATTGCGTGACGCAGCACAGTGCAGTAGTGCAGTGCGTGAGCGCAAGATCAATATAGCGCGGTCTCGCTCGCGCGGCTGTGACGTACCGGGCGGACCGGTCGCCGAGTCGGCGCGCGAGTACCTGAGCGCGTCATACATAGATAAACTATCTACTAATAAGAAAATTAGATTTGTACAGAAAATAATATTTAACTTATATAATACAAATTGTAAATATTGATAGAATGAATTTGATGTTTTTATACAAGAGTAAGTATTTAGTTTTAAGTATTTTTAAGAGTAAATAATATGTATATAATAATAATGGAAATAGTTTAGAATTTAAGAATTTAACAAAGGTAGACAGATGAAGAACATAATTGAGAAAATAGATTAGGTTAGATAGATAGGGTAGGTCACTACAATATTTATATAAAATGTGTGTGTTAATAGTTAAAAATCTTTAATTTTTCATCCAGGTGGGCGAGTACATAATCTTCCACGTACAAAGCAACTTCTACATGGAGTCGTTCAACTACGTGGTCATGTCCAAAGGTATCATTCTCACTAGCGGACAGGAGATCATGCAGGTGAGATTTATTTCTTTTAAATTGTAAACCAAAAATTACCTTCCTATGTCTGTTGGCGATAAAGCTTGGAAAAATATACTAAATGCATTTTTTTCTACATAGAGGTTATTGTTTCATTGTCACTAGACTTATATGTAAACCCTACGCTACATTAACGCCATCTGGTGACGAAAAACCGTAGTACTCATTCAGGAAATTTTCAGTACCGCGGATGCAAATATAATTACATAATTTTAAGTAATGGGTTAATTTGGACATAGACCCATTGATGCAACTTGTTTTCTACGTATAAAAATAACTTTTTTACCTATGAAAGTCTCATTTTTTCAAAAAGTATTGCAGTCAATAATCAATCTCCAACACATCCGTATCTCCATTTATTACCATGGTCTGGCAGGAGGGTGTCCGTACGTTCGCGGTGACGGTATCAGCGGAGATGGCGCCGGTGTCCACGGTACTGGTGTGGAGCGCCGAGCGGAGGGGACATGTACTCGCTGACTCATTGACCTTCCCAGTCAACGGCATCTCCAGGAACAATGTAAGTGCAACTTGTACAATTCTCAGCTCGAAATGCTTATTAGTCATTTATGTAACAGTTTGAACTTTGTTCCCCAAAAAAAAGAATTCACTTATTTTATGATTTAATCTTGTTTTTTTGTAAGCGGAAAATTATCAAAAGACTTCTTCCGCCCGGGATGGGGCAGGAGGCAGTGTCGGGCTCTTACTGACTAAAAAAAACCCCGTTCTTTCTCCTGCTCCGCGGCCGCGGTGCATTATTGCGCTTACCCCGCAAGGGAAATAATCTTGTTGAGTTCCTCACTATTACCGCTGCAGTTTTGTCGACCTTGAATCACCAACCATTTATTAAAACTATTGTAATGAAACCATACACTATCAGAAATTGATCGAAATCCAGATTATTGAAATAAACTATAAGTTAGAAAATATTTAAATGATTATGTTGTTTCGACATATTTTATAATAAGCAATTATTTAATGCTTGAAGTGGTGTGGTTCTTTCTTCAAAATACCGTTACAGATACAGAATGAACTTGCATAGTTCTCTTTGTTTCTGGACTATAAAAAGACCTCAGAGTTTGTTTCGGCATTTCTTCTGAGTAGTCCGATAGAAAATGCAAGCTTGATCTAGATATTTTATATTGATATGTAAAAGTGCCGGTAAGGCATTTTTCGGGGTTGCAGGGTAAGCGCGATGGGGCACCGCGGCCTCGGCCTAGAGCAGGAGCAGAAACGGGGGGTTTTTTAGTCAATAAGTGTTTGACCTTTTCTCTCGCCTCACCTTGGGCGAGAGAAGTCATTAAAATTTGATGATTTTCCCCTGACAAAAAATGGCTTATTTACAAAAATAAATAAATAATTTGTTTGAAGCAAATTAAGATGTTGTTGGTGTGTCCAGTTCACAGTGTTCATAAACAACCGCAAGCACCGCACGGGCGAGCGCGTCGAGGTGGCCATCTACGGGGAGCCCGGCGCGTACGTAGGGCTCTCCGCCATCGACAACACCTTCTACACCATGCAGGCCGGGAACGAACTTACTTATGCCAAGGTTCGACGATGTTATTATATTATTTTCATTTTGATGTGACATTGTCTAATAACTCGACCCTACGGGCTTGCATACACGAAAAAGATTACATCATAGTCCAGTGACGATCATTATCGAAAAAAAAATCCGAGAGAGTGGGCATGGTCGGTTCAAGCGATCGGTTCATGCTACTTCCTACCGTCCGTAATCTGATTTTACAAACAACCAATTTTTTTTGAAGCTCGTTTTTCAGTTGATTTCAATATAAAATTACATTAATAAATCTTATATGTCTTTATTAGTTTATGTAAAGAAAACTACAAAATACTAAATCCAATATTAGTTTGAATTTTGTATTTTAATTCTCTCTTGAACACAACAACATGTGCGAACTACACAAACCTACAGTTTGGTATTTGCCTAAACACTCGTACTTTGAGTTATTTAAAACTGTCATATAAATCTTTGTTGTGCCTCACAGGTGATATCAAAGATGTCTCACTTCGATGAGTCTACTAATGGTACATTCGCGTACACGTGGCGCTCCCACTTCGGCGACGCAGACGACCTCGTTTACTTCCCATCTTCCACCTTCGGTATCGACGCCAACAGGACCTTCGAGTAAGTTCTTTTATAAAATCGAACTTGATATTATGAACGTAATGAATGTGAGACTTACTGTAGTTATTCCGTCGTCTGATACGCAATCAATTAACAAAAACTATTTTTGATAACAGAACTTGCCATATCACTCAGTTTGGACTTATTTCAAATTAGTAAATCTTTTTTTTATTGTTACACGTAAGGCGAATTCAAATTGCCACGAATTTTTTCTCCTTAAAACTAATACACTTATGGTAAATCGATGAAAGATAATACCCTACAGGTGTTCTTGAGGAAAATTTTCTTGCAAGATTTAAAAAGAAAGCTTTATTTTAATTACAATAGGCATTACATACATATTATTGGAGATCACTTTTTAACCAAGGAATTGCTTGTTAGTTTTATGCAATTGAAATGTAGACTATATGACTCTTGCAAGATTATAATAATAATAATAGTAGAAAAAACTAAATATAAGAAAGGAATGATTTGATCGATATTGTCCGGTAGGTACGCGGGGCTGCTGGTGTTCAGCGACGTGTCGGTGACGCGGCGGTACAGTACGTGCAACGTGTCGCAGGGCTACGGCGAGTGCCTCGAGGGGGGCTGCTACCCCCTCACCAAGCGATGCGACGGAGCCTACGACTGCCCCGACCATACCGACGAGTCCAACTGTAACTATATTATCATTCTTATCTTACAATTGCTTCAACCAAACTTACCATTACACTTTGATTGATTCATGTACATACCACGTATGTACATTCCACTATGCAAAAATAAAATATCAAAGCTTTTTACCCCGAAATAACTTTTATAGAAATAAGCTGTTGATTTTTTTGTTATTATTATTGTCAGAGGCTCAATGATCTCTTAGTTAAACTGCGGAAGCGGTTTTGTTGGGCTGTTTTTTTGCAAACGAGCATACTGATTACCTGATGGTAAGCAATCAGGACACCCGTAACAGAGTAGTTACTATTGCGTTGCCAACCTTTTGGGATTAGGGAATTTGGAGATTTAGGAATTGGGGTGGGATTGGATTGGGATAGGGGAAGGATTGGGCATCCGGTAACCCCACTCACACAGCGAAACACAACGCTGTGGTTGTTTCACCACGGTTTTCTGTGAGGCCGTGGTATCACTCCGGTCGAGCCGACCCATTCGTGCCGAAACATGGCTCTCTCACACTTAAATATGTATTTATTTATAAAAATTCGCTAGTGATACCTCAGTCTGTGATTCCCCATCATTCTATTCTGTTCATTGTCATTTCATATTTTGTTCTCACGTTATTAAACTAACTCTTACCCAGGTGAAAATGACTTCCACAAGTCATTCGAGCTGACCCATTTCCGCAAGTTCCGATTCAACCGCGTGCAGAGACAGTATGACAATGTTTGGCTCTGGAGGGACGTGAACATCGGGCCACACGGACGATATGTCTTCACCGTCGATGTTCCACAGGTAATTTACCGTAATAACTCGTTTATATATACTTATACTAATATTATAAAAAGTTAAATTTTGTAATTTGTAAGTTTGTATGTAGGGGGTAAACTTTGAAACAGCTGGTCGGATTGCTAAAATTCTTTCACTGATAGATAGCTGCAATGTTCCTGTGTCCTACAGGCTATAAACATCACGCTACGGTCTATGGCAGCGGGTGAAACCGCGCAAGAGTAGCTAGTTTTGAATACATACATCTTAGTAGTCTTTAGATATATGTGTGTGATTGTTACATATTTTACAATATTGGTAAATGTTGCAGATACCAGCTCACTGGATAGTGTCAGCGTTCAGTATGTCGCCCAGTCTTGGTTTGGGTATGCTGACGGAACCTAAGCAAGTAAGTCAATAGTATAGTATTGTGTGATCTACAAATTGTTACAGGGTCTGCGTGTGATGTGTATGTGAAATTGCATATACGTTTGTAAACGCAAGTTTAAAAAACGCGCTTTTTATATACAAAATGTCGAGCAAAACCTCAAAATTCTAAGTGTGTATCTAACAATGTTTTATTGTACCCAGTACGTAGGCGTGCTGCCGTTCTTCATAAAGGTGGAGGGTCCGGCGTCGTGCCGGCAGGGCGAGCAGGTGGGGCTGCGGGTGGTCGTCTTCAACTACCAGCCGCAGGACATCGAGGCCGTCGTCGTACTCTCCGCCTCGCCAGACTACAAGTTCGTGCATGTCGAGGAGAATGGCATTGTGAGTCTTTACTATCTTACCTTCTTTGGTATACTAAATACTGACTCAAAAGTATCTGAATATAGTTTATTTGAAACTAGCTATTTCCACGCAGTTTATTTGCTGCAACACAAGAATGATCAACTACAGTTCCAACAAGAATAATTAATAAATTTCAGTGTAGATAAATGTTTGGGCTTTTTAATGTTTTAAATATTATGAAGATATATCACGTATTAGATTCCCATTGTGATTTTAAACTAGTACAACACGATAATACGTTTAATAATAATTAAATAAAATAAGTTGATATTCAAGCAACTAATGGTGTTAGTGGCCATGAGCAACACCACATTTACAAGCATATTGTCGACCTTTTGACGATGTAAATAGTACAGAATATTGTGTGACATAATTTGCTTGTGGAAAGGCACTAGTTTGTGAGGTTTGAGCATAATGTATGTCGGTAGGTCCGGTCGTACAACCCGCGCACGTCGTTCGGCGAGCACCAGTTCTTCGTGTACATCAGCGCGGGGGACGCGGCCACCGTGTACGTGCCCGTCGTGGCCACGCGCCTCGGGGACGTGCACGTACGCCTGCACGCCGCCACGCTCATGGGACAACACCACTATGTCAAGAAGATCAACGTACAGGTACTATATTTTTATCTTTACTCGTGACGAACTCAGTTAGCCACTTATCGCAGACAAAACGAAATTGTTTCAACACACGCGCGCTAGTGATTTCGTTATACTAAGAAACCAATAAGTATAGAAAAAAAGTTTCTTTTGACAAGTTGTTTGTTATCATGAGAACAATCACGTGTTTAAATATTGGTCACTTAAATAAATATCGGTTTAAACACCAGGCAAGCTTATATATCTCACTCATTTTGCGTTAGTGCCGAGAGAACATCGGTGATAACCTAGTTCAACGCATTTTCGGTCAGCCTTGAAAGATTTTTTACCGACCTTAGTCTCTATAGATTTCCTTGATTAAGCTACTCAATACTTTATTAACATTCTATATATTATGTTATATTGTATGGCATAAAGCGGTTAGAGAAGCTTGCAATACAAATCATCTTATCACATGAGACAGATCTCAAACACATTGTTACAGAACTTATATATAATTAACACAAAAATTTCCTTACAGCCGGACGGTCTTCCTCAATACCGTCACCAGTCAGTTCTGTTGGACCTTTCGAACCGAGCGTACGTGTTCCAATACATGCACGTTAACGTGACGGAGACCCCGATCATCCCGTACGAAGTGGACAGGTACTACGTGTTTGGCTCCAACAAGGCGAGAATATCTATCGTAGGTGATGTCGTCGGACCTCTCTTCCCGACTATGCCTGTTAACGCTACCAGCTTACTACATTTGCCTATGGTAAGTTAGATTTTTACTGTCGTTTTATTGGTATTTTTCCTATTTGTGTTTGTCCATGTGTTGTATTCTTTCTGAAAAGAAAAACTTCACTCTTGTGTCATTTATTTAGCGGAATGAAGATTCCAACTGACATGAAAGTGAGTTAGCAGATAAGCAAATAGGTTATTTGGTGGTAAGCAAGTAATCAGTGTCGCACATTAACACCTTTTAATACTAGAGAGACAAATGTCGATGTGGACAGTAGAATAATTCGGTACCTATTTAAAGTCAAATTCAGTACTTTTTATCGAATTGCCAAAATCAAAATCGTCAAAGTTGAGCCTTTAGTCAAAAAGTTTACTTATTTCTTGAAAATTTGCTAGATTAACACGGGCATTAGTAGATGTGCTATAACCAAGTCTAGTATCCAAATTTCGTCCCATTACCTCACTCTCAAAGCGAAACACAAGGCAAACTTTCTATCACGCCGGTTTTGGGTAAGGCAGTTTACCTTACCCAAAACCGGCGTGATTCAAATCCTACAATTTAAATGTAATCCCTCGATATCACAGGACTCAGCTGAACAGAACATGTTCAGTTTCGCGGCGAACATGTACCTGACGCTGTACATGCGTCTCATCAACCAGCGGAACAGGACCCTGGAACGCGATGCCTTCTACCACATGAACATACTGTACCAACGACAGCTGTCTTTCATGAAGCCTGACGGGTCCTTCAGCTTGTTCAGGAGTGATTGGTAAGTACACTTGGTTGACTGAATTATCAACAACTAATCAGATGACTTGACAAGAGATTTAACAGGAGATTGGTTAATTATAGCGTTGACAAGCCTTTCAGAAACTGGGTGTAAGCTAGTTTAATGACTTAACTTTGTCCCCCGTATATCAAACGAGATTTATCTTTTCTTTAGCCTAGGTTTTAACCATTGAGTCAGATTTGTGAATGTATTATGTAGTAGTGTATTATAAATCTTATTTTTACTGACCTTTTAATTCGAAATACAAAAACTGGCTCACTGGGACTAAAGAAAAACCTTGTTTTGTAATAAGAATGTGTGTGCTTAATGCAATTTTGTCTCGATTGTTTTTGTTTTATTTTATTGCCCCACATGTTTATAGATTTTTTTTTTATATTTATCTCTTTTTTCATATTTTGTAATTTATGTGCGTTGTAACACGTTAAAATGTTGTGCATTTAATTTTATTATTACTTAAGCTTTTAGATATGAGCCTAAATGTAACAACTATTACTAACTTGTACAAATAAAATAAAAAAAGGCACCACTGACTATCTCAGGCTTTCTTAGGTACTGTAAGAATTTACTATTCTTTCTTTTTTTTGACTTGCCTCTAGAACATGTTCACTGTCTTGTCCGGCGTTATTTTATGGATGGAACTCAACTAAATGTTACTTGTTTTTTCTTTAAATTAGGAACCAATCTGCATCAAGTGTATGGTTAACCTCATTCTGCGCGAAAATATTCCAAGATGCGTCGTTCAACGAGTGGGAGAACTTTATTTACATCGACCCTGAGGTAATAACATACATAAATTAATACAATACACTAACAGTCTAACTATTACTAAAAAAAATCTATGCAATATTTATCAGTAAGTAGTGGATATTGAGTAGCCACATGCGAAGCTACTTCGTATAAAAGATAGTTTCATATGTAAACTATACTTAATAATAAACAATCTTGGCACGACTTACATTATTTCGAGCATGCTCGACTAGTTACAAGTAAAATCGGGATTGGTAAACTGTGACACGAAAGTAATGAATGATTATTTACAGGTGATATCAATGGCGGTATCATGGGTGTTGGACCACCAAACTCCGGAAGGTGCATTCTACGAAGTCACATGGCTACCCAACAGGAACGACAACGCTACCATCGTGGTGCCCAAGAACAGCTCGCTGTATAGGGAAGCCTTCAGCAATACTGGATGGCACGATCCTAGTGCTATAGAAGTAATATTCCAACTTATTTATACATAATATATTTTCTATACTAGCTTCCACAATATAATATATCCCGGGATTTTAGAAAACAGCTGAGTTTAAAGGATCATCATCATCATTATCAGCCTATAAGTGCCCACTGCTGAGCAAAGGCCTCTTCTCATACGGAGAAGGTTAGAGCATTGATCACCACGCTTACTCGCACGCGTAAAGGATAAATCGACTAAAATACGCAAATGTCGGATAATTTGTAGCCCATAGCATTCAGGAACATTGTCGATATTTATTAGAGATTTTTTTTAAATCCGACCAACGGTTCCAAGGCTACCCCCTACATACAAATTTTCAAATTAAATTTTTTTTTATCTCATTATAATATTAGTATAGATCATAGACATATGCCTAGAAAATACAGGCTTTATTTAGTATTATATTGAGTATTTCATTGAACTATTTATAATCGATAGATAATGATCGCTACAGGCGGATATGCGAAATCAATGACGTCTTCATCATTTTATCTAGACAATTACAGTTCTTATACTAATACTATCTCCAAACAAGTCCAGAAAACGCTCCGAGAATTAGGTCCAAAGCTATACAAGAGTATTTTGATATGTAAACTAAATTTTAATGACTTGTTTCTTCTTTGTCAACAGGTAAACGATTCTATAATAATGCAGCGAAACATCACATTGACTGCTCAAGTAGTTATCACATTGGAAACTGTTAAAAACCTCAAGGACATTGGAGTGAGAGAGGTAAGTTATTCGTTTTATTATTTAGGTATTAATCTTAAACTAATTTTGTTTATTGCAGCTAATATTAACGTGGATATATCTTTAGGGAACAAAGAGTAAATTTTCCTAAATGAAAATCCTTCCATTAGGCGATATGATCATATCTAGCAGCCTACTGTCTGTCTAACAGTTGAATGTTGGGATTTCCTATTCATATTAATCTACGCGCAAATTTCAGTTGTCTTTTAAATGAATCACGTATACGAACCATAATTGAACTTTTCGAATCACGCGGTTTTATTATGTTGATTAATAAAATAAGAATGATTAGAATAACACTGTTAGTATGGCTTATGTCCAAGCGAAGCCCTTGCGCAACTTGCGCAGCCTACTCAGTAGTAGCTGCCAGTGGGCTGCGCTGCTTTTAATGAAGAACCCCTCTGTGGTTCGAAACTAGTAGAGCTTTTCTGAGTATGTTCATTAGAGTAATCCGCGATTTTTAGTTAATTTAGCAATACGGTAGTTTCCAACTATTCAAATTATAAGCAAACAACGTGAATGTAGCAAAACAACAGACTAACTTTTATTCCACTTTCAAAAGTATTTATAGACAGACAATTCTTTTTAAACCATAAACGTATCTAATGGCGTTACGAGTATCAATTCGAACAAATACTTTTATTATTTTGATACATCATTACAACACAAATTCAATACATTTTATCCAAATGTCAAAAATTACTACTATACTTTTCTACGAGATTTGTATGAAAAACTGAGTTATGACGTCATAGTATTTTTGCGTCAAATAGCTTACTTGTTTCGTAATAATTAGTTAAAAAATATCTAAAAATTAGTGTATCGATCGAACGATGAATAAAAGTATCGTTATTTTTCAATATTTCATTGTATTGAAACGTCGAATTAGTTTATTTTTGACCTAGGAAACTACCCAATTGTCACGATAGTTTACGATAAGTGACCGATAATACGGATTTCGCCGGAATCGGTCAACGGGTGATCTTCTAGCATATGCCATTCACATCTGGAGTGAGGCCATCGAAAAACACGGGGAAGCGCTTGCCGTCTCCCTTGACATCTCGAAGGCTTTCGATAGGGTATGGCACGAAAGCCTTATTAGTAAGCTTCCTTCATTCGGTTTACCTACTGGATTGTGGGTTTGGATCGCAGACTTTTTGAGGGACCGGTCCATCCGTGTGGTCATCGATGGTTGCTCGTCGAGTCAAATGACCATCAATGCTGGGGTCCCTCAGGGGTCAGTGCTCTCGGCAACATTGTTTTTGTTGCACATAAACAACCTGCTTAAGCCCGGTACCTTTGGGTATGCAGACGACAGCACTATTGCTGAGAGTAACACGTTCGGCGCACGAGCTATAGTGGGTCACAGATCCAGTCTCTTCGAGAGGCTATGGTTGGGCGCTTGAACTTGTCCTTTGAGGCTGTCTCAGAATGGGGCGATGCCAACATGGTCAGGTTTAATGCAGCTAAAATTCAGGCGTGTCTATTTTCCGCTAAAAGGAGTCAATTTAGCCCTGCTCCAACTTTCCGAGGTGTATCCGTGCCGATAACTGACCATCTTGATCTTCTCGGTATAACGCTGACATCCACTCTCAATTTTGGGCCATACATCGAAGCAAAAGCTCAACTGGCTGCAAAAAAGTTGGGAATCCTCGCAAGGGTTAGACAATACTTCACGCCGGAACAGCTGCTTAAACTTTATCAGGCGCAAGTTCGATCGGTTATGGAGTACTGCTCTCATCTTTGGGACGGATCTGCCCGATACCAACTTGATGCGCTTGAGACTATTGAGAGGCGAGCCAAGAAGATCATTGGCGATGATGCACTTGTCGAGTCGAGACTTCAAAGTCAGCATCGACGCCGAGTTGCTAGCCTGTCGGCTTTCTACCGGCGGTTGCATTTCGGGGAGTGTGCGTCGGAATTACATAATTGAATTCCGCCTAGCCCGTTCCATCATCGGACCACCAGACGTACGGCATTGCGCCACAGGTACATGGTGGATGTCCCACATACCTATACGTACAAAACGTTTTGGGAGCACATTCACTATGCGTACAGCCAAGGAGTGGAATTCCTTGCCGGAGTCGGTGTTTCCTGATAGCTACAATCGGGGTATCTTTAAGTCAAGACTGAATAGGTTACTTCTAGGTACGCGCTCCATCGTCGACCACATCGTCGGTTTCCATCAGGTGAGATAGCGGCCAAGCGCGAACCTTTAATCAATAAAAAAAAAGTTTGTCATAATTATATCGTTGAACGAGTATGAGAATGCGCGGGCGAGTTCTGGCTGATGCTGACGAAGTACCGTGTGCAGGGGCTGAGCGCGCGCGTGTCGTCGGCGCAGCAACGCGGCGTGCGCTGGCTGGAGCGGCATCTGCGCGTCCTGCACGACCACGGCGACCCCTACACGCTCGCGCTCGTCGCGCACGCGCTTACATACTCCAAGGCGCCCAGCTCCGAGCACGCCTACCGACTGCTCAAGCGACACCAGCGGTACGAGGGTACGTACCTATCTCATAACTCCTAAATCATTTCATTCTGCACGACCACGGCGACCCCTACACGCTCGCGCTCGTCGCGCACGCGCTTACATACTCCAAGGCGCCCAGCTCCGAGCACGCCTACCGACTGCTCAAGCGACACCAGCGGTACGAGGGTACGTACCTATCTCATAACTCCTAAATCATTTCATTCTGCACGACCACGGCGACCCCTACACGCTCGCGCTCGTCGCGCACGCGCTTACATACTCCAAGGCGCCCAGCTCCGAGCACGCCTACCGACTGCTCAAGCGACACCAGCGGTACGAGGGTACGTACCTATCTCATAACTCCTAAATCATTTATACCATTAATCTAGTATATTATTGTGTCAAATAAAACCAGTTATTAATTCGTTGCTGACTCAGAGAATTTCAGGGGATGGGATGAAATTCACTCATCCAAACGACGCAACACAAACGAGCTTAACCTCAAGTTTTTTTTTTAAAGAAAATACGTTGCCCCACACTTGAATTTTCTCCTGTGTCGTGGGTGCGTTTACAAACATACAAATTTACATACACAACACACCCAGACTCGGAACAACAATTTGTTGTTCCGGATTTAGGTGTGTAATCTTCTTATATATAAAAATGGATCGCAAAATATGTTTGTAAGCGCATAACTCAATAACGCCTGGATCAATTTTGCTAATTCTTTTTTTGTTGTATTTGTTATTGTCAGGAGAAGGTTCTTATGAAAGAAAATTTTAGAAATGTTCAGGGGAGAGTTAGGTAACAGGGACCCTTTCATCGTAACCGAGATGATGAGACCCGTGCGAAGCAGGGGCGAGCGCTAGTATTTATATAAAATTGTATGTTTCTAAACGCACCCACGACACATAAGAAAACCTAGTATCCAAAGGGGAACCTTTTTTTATATATAAACTGAAAAATACCTGATAAAGCAGCATCTACATGATATACCGCTAAACACAAAACACCCTCCTCGTTCATCAAAAATAAACAAAATCTAATATCTTTTATTCGAAACTAATATTTTACAGGTGGTCTAAGTTACTGGGGCAAGGAGCCAGTACCGCAGCCTCCTTACAAGATGGAGAACCAGAAACCCTTCCTTCTGCCTCGCCTGCCGTACAAGTACGACTCCAACAACATCGCGGCTACGGCGTACGCGCTACTAGCGTGTATGGACCACCAGGACAACAACGAGCCTATCGTCATGTGGCTCAACTCGCAACGATTGCAAGATGGCGGCTGGGCTTCCACACAGGTTCGTTCAAGACAGATTACTTAGTTCAATGTATTGCTGAAATTACATTTTTAAATCATATTTGTTAAATTTGTGTTATTCATGAACTGGATACTGTAAATAATTCTAAAACAATAAGAAAAAAAGTGTCTGCTGTTCTTGTTTTCGCTTTTCAACGAAGTCTTTATTTTTTTTAACTCGGCTCAATAGACACTGGTATATAATATACATATTTATATTTTTATCTAATTTAAAATCCAGAATACCAAATAACTTGGCTGACTATAAATCTGTATATGTTTGAGTAAAAACATAATTACAAAAACTACATATTATATACAATTTCATTTGAAAAGTGTATTGGAATTTTGGTATTTAGGGTATGATAAACGATTGTATATCAAATCAGTGACTTTTGGTATGTGAATTCCCTTTACAAACCAAAAGACACAGTTTCTAACAAAATCTCGTATACACATTGTAATTTTTCGTTACTCAGTTACTGACCCTCGTTTTATCCTCCAGGACACGTACATAGCTCTGCGCGCCCTGATCGAGTACACGAACCGCAAGCGCCTGCGCGACGTGTCGTCCCTGACCGTGAGCGTGGACGCCGTGGCCCTCGCCGGGGACACCCGGACACTGCACGTCAAGAACGACAACCTCGCCGTCATGCAGTTCATTGATGTCAGTATCAATATCATCATCATCATCATCATCAACCTATTAGTGCCCACTGCTGGGCAAAGGCCTCTTTTGACACTGAGAAGCTTTGAACATTGATCACCACATATTATAAATAATAATTATGAAAATATTGTTCCTTATTAGATATGGGGTCAAAGGTTTGCAGTTTGTTCGAAAAAAAAACCTGTGCCTGTGCCAACTGTCATTGATAACTTATAAATTAGCTTAACAATGTTGTTGTATAGACGGCATAATTATATAGATATACTACTCCATTACATCAAAAATCTTTAATAAGGTTTAAACTTAATAGTTTTTTTATTATAAAATTACAGATTTATTGAAAGTAACGACTTACATGAACGAACTGAGAAAAGCTCTACTAGCCAGGAAAGCGCACGCTGCTCATAAATAAATATCTCATTGTGGCTTGAAACTAGTAAAGCTTTTCTCCGTTCATTCGCGTGATTAAGTAGTTATTATCAATAAATTTGGTAGTTACTGTTAAAAAAAAATTGAAGAATACTTTAATATTTCCATACTCTTACATTTTGTTAACATCACTTTTACGTTAGTTAACATTCCAAAATCACTGTTTTATTATTTTATTTTGGTTTGATGTTCCGTAGATCCCAGAAGCGTGGGGCACGGTGAAGGTGACGGCCCGCGGCGCCGGGTACGCGATCCTGCAGATGTCGGTGCAGTACAACGTGGACATCGCGCGCTTCCAGACGCCGCCGCCTGTCAACTGCTTCTCCCTCGTCTCCTCGCACCACTTTTACGGAAGAAATCAGTCGCATATCGAGTTCCAGGGTTGTGCCAGGTAGATTCCAACTATTATTTTTTGCAGTTTGCCTCTTTTTAGTGAGTGAAATCATCAAATAACTTCTCTCGCCCATGGTGGCTCTTACTGAGAAAAATCCTCCCAGTTACTTCTCCTGCCCCAGGCCTAAGCCGCGGTTCCCTATTACGCTGGCCCCGCAACGCCGGCTTGCAGTTTGTCCTAAAGTCAACTTTATTTTACCTATAATGCAATCCCCAAACTGGCTTCTAAATAGCGGGGATTATAGCAAACTATTTACTCATTCAGGACAGGCAATTAAAAAAATGCAAATCTAGATCATTGCAAGGTCACCCAGTGGTGTATCCAAACAAGACACAATATTTTTGTGTCTCATATTAGCGGCCGAGACAAGCTTCCATAGTAACAATAATGTCCAATTTTCAGCTGGACGTTAACCCAAGAGTCGCCTCGATCTGGTATGGCGGTGCTGGAAGTAGGCGTGCCGACGGGCTACATGATACAGCAACAAAAACTCGACGCATACGTACTGGCGCGCAAGGTGCCCACTCTGCAGCGAGCCAAGTATCTACCTACTAAGATACTATTCTACTTTGACTATGTAAGTACTATATTTTTTACTAATTCAAGACATAAATAATGGAGAAAGAAGTCTTTGTGAAGTCTAAACCCTATGAAACTCCTAGTTTTCTTTTCCTGAAGAACAAATAATTAACTGGGAGAGTCTAGATTGTAGATGTTACTTAGTGTGCTATGAATATGATTGAATAACTTCTCTGTACTTGTGATGACTGAATTTGTGATATAATAATTTTATATAATTTTATATGTTTATGCAGTTGTCTGAGGAGCCGACATGTGTGAACTTCACAATAGAGCGCTGGTTCCCGGTCGCCAATATGTCTCGATACCTACCAATGCGTGTCTATGACTATTATGCTCCTGGTAAGTTTTCTTACTGGTAGACATTTCTAAAGATATTCGTTATTTTTTTATCAATAGTTTTTATCATCGAACCACATTAACTTATTCTCGATCATCTTATTCTACCAACAGAACGATTCAACGAAAGTATATTCGACGCCCTGCCGACATATCTCCTGAACATTTGCGAAGTGTGTGGTTCCTCCCAGTGTCCATACTGCGCTATCTACAATAACGCGCGACGTTTGGCGCTCGCAACTCCATTACTCCTCATAGCCATTGCCGTAACCGTCGCACGCTACATACGACCACAAGTCTCTCTCTATGGAATCTCATAGGTATGTACAAGCTATTATTTTATAGATATTCGATAAAATATGGAATTGAATACCAAAACTGTACGCTTTATTAACAGAATATCTCTATTTTTGCCCGAAAAGTATGTATGTAAGGATTTTTTGATACCAGTGACCTTATTATTTGTAAAATTATTACTCTTCTTGTCCCAGGGGCAAGTTCAAGGGGTCATAATTGTATGTGATTTCAACAATCATTCTGTTAATAGGCCATTTTAATGTTGCAAGCAGCTAACATTCATTGTGTAGATAGAATAATTAATTAATTAATAATTAAAACATTTTAGAGACAAAATAAAATCATAAATGATTTATTTTTATTTTATAACAATTATTTGCATGTTGACTAAAATGATAATCTAAAAGACAATAGTATGAGTGATAGATGATAAAACGGATATTGAATACGAGTATTTTAGGGCATATGTATGTATTTCTTAATCACTCATAAAATCTGAGCAGCTATATAAAACTGAATGCATAACAGCAAATTCGAGATGAATAATTTTGTAAGCTATGTGTCAAAAATTACACAAAAATATTTTGAACAGTACTGGCAGCTGCGTTTTATTCAATAAGATTAAATTCTATCGGTAGCTATAAGCCACTGAAGCATGTATAGATAAAATAAAGTAAAAGCATTCTTTATTTGGTACTATCTGAAAAATAGTATTAAGAATGCCAAAAGTGAGACTGCTACAGCATTCGCTATTACAAAACACGAAAGTTGTTCCAAGGGCACCTATCTATGATCCAGTATTGCGACCTGGGTTCCATACTAACCACCGTTTAGATATAAATTGTAATGAAATAAAGATACCTAAACCAGTTTATTTGTAAGGAAAACGCCTGATACTCACAACTGCTTTGTAGTTAAGGAAAAACAAGTTTTAATCCTTTTGCCACAATTAAGTTGTATTTGTTACTAAAATATATTATATAGGAATTTGAACGATTGCTATAAATCAAACTGCAACTCAAGAAACAAATACACAGGTCTTCCAAAATAATTCAATTGCACTGCTTATAAACTGGTAATATCCCCATTCCATAAAGTATTTTAAATAACTTGTCAACCTCAATTCCTTTCTCCATTCCAATTTAGTGTTAGTTAAGCAAGTGTTCATCTTAGTTTAAGCAAAAACAGACATGTATTGTGGTGTTGTAATTATGTGTGCATTGTCTATTTATCAGCTGATGATATGATCACTTTCTTTTGTGTTAGCGCAATATAGTAAAAAACTGATGTGTTTAAGCTGGTATTAATATGTATATTTTCTTTGTCGTATGATTACAATACCACAAAAGACAAATCAACATTTTGTATGTCCATCCATTGTATACATGGAAAGTTTATGATGTAATTATTTTTGTCAGTTTTTAGCATTTACATATGTATAGAATCTCATTTTGTTCTGTTTCTATTCTCCTGGGTGCTGCCAGCTTTTTATTTCACTTTACCCAACTTGTTATTTTAGTTCAATTTCTTGTATAAACTGCCTTGTATAATCTATCGATTTGTATACCATGCATATCAGGAACTGCACTTAATTTGGATCAATTGAAAAGAGAGAAATTTTGTGATGATGAAATAGCATTAAATGCGTCCTTGCCTTGATTTGAGTATTTTTATATGAAGGCAAAGTGCAACATTGTGTGTAAATATTGTAGTTTAAGTCCTTGTAGTAGTACTAAGAACAGCAATAATACAGTGTGCAGGCTGCAAGATATAGTTCAACCACCATGAGACATGTCTTGTGATGATAAAATTTTATATTTTGTAATAAAAACATTTAAACTTGAAACATCATTATGAGTGTAATATTATTTCTCAGATTGAAGAAGTGATTGTTATTTACGATATTTCTATTTAATAAATAATCAAGCAATATTATATCAAAAATGTCAATCATAATGCCTTATTAACACTATCAAAAGACAATATATAAAAGTTTATTGGAAATATTTTAATGAAAAATATACATTGATTTGTAATTATATTTTTAATTAGTATTAAGTTTTTGTATTATTGTGGTAACTGAGAGTACCTATTTATTTCTTATACTATGTATTTTCGTGCCACATACAGCAAATTATTCGATAGCATTAGGTTTAACAACTGTCTGTACAAAATGTACCGTCCAAATTTTATAATAGAGAAAAAATAATATTACTATATGTATAAAAATAATCTCATGTCTATGCCTATGTGAGCATGTTACTTAAGTAGTTTCCGTCCAAATTACCAATGACTGATTTTTTTTTACTTTATGTATTTGTGTGTAATATCTTCCTAAGTTGTTAAAAGCTTCTCTGTAGAGTAGGAGAGTGGTATTGTCATAGATATATTTCCAAATAAAACCTTATGAAAATAACAGCTGTTTTTTATTCCTAATTATTTCATTAGATGTACAATTCTATAACAGAAACAAATTCAATACAGAACTAAAAGACCTTTAATGTAAGCGGGCAATTGCAATTATCGGTTCTTCAGCCTCGGCCTAAACCAGGAGGAGGAACTGACGGGTCAGTACCACTTAAACTAAACCCTTTGCGTGATTAATTGTTTGGGGGGCGTAGTAGAAGAGTGAAAAGCTAGCTTCATCATTTGAAATCAACATACCCAGTAGCTATTGAGTTAAGTTGAGGTTGAAACTAAAGTAAAAACAATATAATTTGAACCTGGCTTACACACAGCTATTATCTGGTCTCATTAGCAATCATCCAGTGAGGCATTTTTCTTTTTTATTTCATCCTTTTTGATGGAGTATATTATCAGTGTTTTATTCAGTGAGAGCATTTAGTAATCCAATTACTCATAAGACAAGACCAATAAGAAAGTATTGTTTACAAACATACACCTGTCTCCCAAACTGTGCTGGCATAGACAATAGAATATTGGCATGATCAATCCTACCAATGAAATTTTGTTTGTCTTAATAGAATGTGAAACATATTATTTTGTACATTTTTTAATAAATAATTTGTAATTATGTGTTATGGAATATTAATACTGTGTGTATTAAGTATGGTGTTTATGTTTAAAAATATACACATCACATCATTTCAGTTTATCAATCTACTCATGCATGCTTGCTGATTGAGGGTGCATTCTTTACAATTACAAACACAGATTGTTTTAACAATTTCTTTAATTTTTACATCACTATACATAGTATCAATAACTTATTGATCATAAATACTTATCAATAATTGAACTAGGACATTTCTACTGCCTCTTTTTCACTTGTTTGGCCTTTGCAGCTGAAGCTTTGGCTGTAGCACCACCACTGAACAATGAAGTGAACATCTCAGACATTTCAGGCATGTCGGACATCTTTGCCAAGTTGCTAATTTGTTTCAAATCCTCCTTGGTCTCAGGGTCATTCATCATTTTAGGTAAGATCATAATAAACAGCAGTGGCAACACCATCATGATAACCATTGGGTTGAACAGGAAATCAGTTAGTCGCCACTGTTCTCTAACCTGGAAATACCTGTACCTTGTTAACGCCTTCAGTCTTAATGGGTATGGCACTTGGATAACTTGTGATGTCTGAATATAATTCACTTTTCTAGCTCTGAATTTTCCCTTGGAGTTGATCTCTACTCTAACTGGCTCGTACATGTAGTCGGGATGTAGAATTTCAACAACATACGAACCCGACGGCACATTGTGTATGATGAATGAACCATCATCTCTGATGAAACCTATGTATTCACCACCATTCACATGCACGCGTGTGTCAACTTGCCAAGGTAACAAATCCTGTTCTTCGGGTGGAAAAACTTTGCCTTCAATAGAATATCTGCCATTTCCGACTTCCTCTTCTTGAAGATTTACAGCAGATAACACATCAGAAAATGTACACACTGTAAAGAGGAGTGACAGAATTTGCTTCATTTTATACTTTTACTACCTTTTCCTGGAAATCTTTAAACTTATTCGATTTCGTTTATATTTTAATTCCGCATAAATTTAATAGTCACGATCGATTTCAATCACAAATTACGGATACGGGTCAGGTGAAGCGATGGAAGACTTTGACACTGACAATTCTGACGATTGACGATGACAGTGACAAAAATTAGTGACAAGACAATGAAATTGAATTTTCCATTCATTTCTATTTTAATTTTCCTATAAGTTCTAATATTCAATATACCCTTCGATTGCTACTTGCTACTTATTCATTTATTATATTAAATCAATTATTTTTCTTAGTTGTTTTGTTTAGTGCAAAAGTGAAGTGGTAAAGTATACCATAAACAAAAATACATCAGTCGTTGGAAAAACCGGTTTCCAATCACTATTTTTGTTATTTGTCTATGATTTTTTGTAAACAATATTGTTTGGTTGAACATGTGCATCGCGTGTTTATAATTCAAGTTATTTATTTTAGATATGTTTCCTACACAGTAAAAACAGAAAACTCATAATGTCCGGATACTTGGAAATAAAGTATCCGTTCAAATCTAACTTGGGCTTAAATCCGTTCAAGGTAAGCTTCGAAGTATATTAATTTATTCATTGGGATGTATCACAACATTGTAGCATTGATTATTTTGTTATTGACAGTCGTGGAAAAGACAATGGTGTATTTTGAGACCGAGTCCGACGTGTTCGGGGGCTTCTCTGGCGGTGTACTGCAGCGAGGCAGGTGCTTCAGCAGGCTCGGTGGAGTTACCTTTGGGTAGTGTTGTAAAGAGAGCCAAATCTCGCACGCGGCCACATGCCTTTGCTGTGTTCTCTGTGAACGAACCTCGAAAGCCTCGCATTTTGCTCGCCGCACAATCACTACATGAGACACAAGTGTGGATGGAAAAGATCCGAACTTTGTTGAATGGGAGCAAAATATTAGGTAAGTCTACCTTCATTATTATTTACACATGTGGTCAAAGTCCAATTGTCTGAAGTTGTAACACCCTTTCTTTTCATCACTTGGATTATTATATTTTTGAGTACTTGTTATTTGTTGACATTGATCTATTAGTTGGGTAAATAAATATATATTTACCTATGCATCAAATAAATACATTCTTATTTTGATGATGATTTCTAAAGGTTTACAAGACTGGCTCATTTGTTCTAATTTGACTCAGATGTTTCTGACTGACTATGACTCACCCCAACACTGCATCACAGGATTCATATTATCTTTTAGCATATATTTTTATAATCATTTACTAGTACACCAACACCAATAAATATTATTTATTTATTTATAATATATTTAATACAAAATCATTTTCCAATATCAGTTATGATATTTCTTAAAATGTCTGTAAATATAAACATTGAAGCAATCATGAATTATGTACATGGTCTAGATACATGGTTTACTTAGAAAACTAGTAAATAGTTCACATGTAACCAACCAGTTGTTATTAGTCTTAAAACCAGTATAACATCTTAATTTGTTAACCTAAATTATGCCACTTCATAGAAAAAAAAAATTTCAAATTATTCAAGCACATCTACAATTTTTACTGATCCCATGAAAATGCAATTTCGTTGCTTAAAAGGAGGACAAAAATACTATTTTATTTAAAAATCAATATTTGTGTGAAGTTAGAAATAAGGCAGGATTATATTTATTGTAAAAGGCATAATAATAACAGCATCCTAGCTTTTATTTTATAAAAAAACAGAATGCAACACAAACATTTGTTTCACAAAACAACAAAAACTTTTAGTATTTTGTGCTAAGAGTCAACAAACCCTTAGCCATAATGTATGTAGGTTGTGATTGACAATGGTACCTTTGAGTATTGTAGTGTGATATAGTTGTATATATAACTATGTGGATTGTATGCAGATGAACAAGGTCAACAAACTGTAATAAAGGCAATTCAATTTATTTTGGGAATTAAATTCATCTCCGCATACTTATAAATGAGCAGACCAAAGTTCATTCATTCCAATGCAAACATTATGGTTTGTAACCAGTGATTTTCAAATATTAATGTTGATTTTTAGGTTTAAGAATAGTTGAAAAGAAAAATGATGGTTTTTATTAACAATTAATTTATTTGCCTTTTTGACACACATATATTATGTATGGTACCTCTATAGTGTGATGTTACTACTTACAACAGATATATAATACTTAAATATTATTTATTGTATTTATATAGTACAGGTATTATTGTAGTATACATTTTCTCACCAGTGTTGGTGTACCTATTATTAACATTTTATTTAATTTTAATTTGAAATTTATTTAAAAATGTTATGTATAGTTATGTGTTCATTACCTAACTACTCCATATTCTATTCATATTGCAGTGACTGCAAAATTAAAAATACTTACTGAATGGTTGAGGAAAATCAATAAAAATTATCTGACTTCATAAACAGACCCTTATCAAACAAGTTTGCACATAAAACGTCATCAAATATAATGAGGAAGTTTTCAAATGGCCAGAATTCATATCACACACACAAATATATGTTTTGGCCAAGGCCTGAAATTTGCATCTACGCCATTGACGTCACTACATTGAAAGCAAACACGCCAAACCCATTTAAAATTGTAATATGTGCACACAATGGTCTATTTTACTCTGTTGCTGTAGTGCACATATGTAGATACCTTTATATATTGTTTTCTGAGGTCATCATTTGTAGCAATTCTGTGGAATTGTGCAAAGTACTATATGTGCCAAGGTCTTGGCTAAATCAGCTTAATGGATTAATGTTCCAAATAACTAGTCATGTTAAATTAGTTACCAAACTAGACTATTAGAAACTTTTTAATACTACTTCAGCTAATAAACAATTCATCAGGATCTCAGATCTCTATGTGTATTTTGTCATAAATAGTGAATGTTGTGCTTAACTATTCGCAGCTTTCATAAAATATGTGTTCCTTACGTTATTTCTAAAGGAATTATTTTCAGCCAAAATTATTGGACCCTTTGAACTTACATAAGGATTTAATATAAACACTACCAACCAGTATATTTATGATTTTTGTGTTTTTAAACTGTTCATGTAAACAAGTCTAGATTATACTTCTTGGCATTAGCACTGTATGATTCACAACATCATCCAGAGTTTAGACTACTCATTTTGCACATATCTAGGATTAGCAATAATCGAAATTGAACTTTAAATTAGAACAGACATGACTTAAAATGAGTTGGTCGCCATGTTTACATATTTTTATTTATTTATTTAAATAAACAATTATTCTATTTATTATTGGGTATAGTGACTCATTGGCTGTATCATTGCCAACCATTCACAGGGTGTTATTAACATTAACCATCTGTTTTATGTCGTTGAGTGTCGCGAAAATGTGTCATTTCTCTTATCGATGTGTTATTGTTGTACTTGATCTATGTGTTCCAGTGCTTCACATCAATGTAACACAAACAAACACATCTGCATACTAATTACATTATCATTTGGCTGTTTGTTTAATGTTCCTGAGGGCGATTTTACATTTAAACACATCAGACACCAGTCATGTATAACATGTCTATATCCAGACAGGTGCAAGACACCACAGCTGTTGTATACAACACTCGGTTAAAATAACAATAGCCACCTATGAGTTACATCAGCAGAGAATTACCTAACGGTATCGCGAACAATGCACTAACAACGATGTAACATGTTCTTGACACAATGCGAAGTCGCCCTCACAATCATGCTTTCTCATCTTTCAGACAACGAGCCATTGCTTAAAGACTCATACTCAGTGAGCGTGGTCGCCACTGAGCTGTCCCGTAAGTGCGGACTCAGCACTGACACGGTGGTGACCCTAACGTCGGCCGGCGTGCTAGTGGCGCGCACGCAACTTGCCACCTTCCTAGATTGGAAACACATCAAGGATGTGCGCCTCAGCGATGATGATAAGAACAGAACTTGTGTTCTCACTGTCGATAGGTTGGTGTTTCCTTATGCACGCCAATGTTTTATATACATTTTAAAATACTTCTTAACTTTAATAAAGCTCTAACTTCAAATTAAACATGTTAGCAAAGTTATAAGAAAAAAAAACAATAATATTTTGTGGTTTAGTATGCACTGAGTCATGAAACCTACCATACATAGTTGATTGCCTAACTAAGCAAAAAAACATAAGCAGTATACTTTCAAATGGCGGTAATTACGACGCTCCTGTTGAAAGATTTGCTTAAAAAATATACTACAAGGAAACATGTTGCAATATAGTCAAAGAAAATAAAACTTCAGGTTGTTTAATAATTTACTATAACATACAAAGCATAATATGTAATTTGCTTCCCACGGCCTCTCTGTTGTTTTAAAACGCCTGTTACTTTCATAAATCGAGCTCTTTTACTTAACCGTCACACGTCGAAAATTTTTACGTTGCGTGTCCGAAAAACATTATTATTTTTTACTAGTAATTGTACAAAATGCTATCGATATATGATGATTCGTTTCTGTATAAGTTTGAATTTTTAAATGTCTTAACCAAATTGTATTTTTAGTGCCTAGGCCATAGGTTCAGTTTAAGCTCTTAGGCAGAAGTAACATTCGGCTTTCATCACTACATAGTATAAAACAAAGTCGCTTTTGCGGTACCTATATCCCTATGTATGTTTCAATCTTTAAAACTAAGCAACGGATTTTGATGGGGGTTTTTATAGATAGTCTGATTGAACAGAAAGTTGTATGTGTATAATGTATGCTGATACTAAATCCCCCCATCGGCATTGTATCTCTGCGAAGCTGGGGCGGGACGCTAGTTAAATTTAAATTATTGTTCTTATTTAAAACTGTTGTTGGAGTTTTTAATGTTTTTCTCTAGAAACACATTTTCCTTATATCAAAAAAACAAGTGTATATATAGTAATAAATAAATTATTCATGTTGTTTTGTAAATGAGAACACAAGAAACCACCCGCATACTAATCGTTATTGTTCAGTGCATTGACGTCACACTAGTCGCCACTAATTAAGGAAAAATCATTATTTACTAAGTTTTTTCAGTCATACTTCATGAGAACTAACATTTTACGCTTTGGTTCATCTCAATACAGTTGCATTAACTTTTTTGGTGTACTATTATAAGTATTTGTTTTAAATATTTAAGAAACTGATATCCTTATCGGGAACTTTCGGATATTTGTTAACTGGTGTGTGTAACATTTTTGGATTTAAATAAATTGAATTTGATTTAGAATAATAGCTATATTAAAATGTTTCTTGCACATTATGTTAAAATTTAGAGAGAAAATAATGTCAATGTAAATTATGTAGCTTTTTTAAAAGATTTATTTTTTAATTATTTGAAATAATTTGGCACAACTATGATTAGTTTTTCAAGTCGAGAATAGTTTATAAATATGTTTTTATTAATGAGTTAATAATGTTCCAGTGAGTTCAGTAACGGCGGTGGTGAGTTGAAGCTGCGGTCCCCACTGGCCGGAGCCCTAGCTCGTGCGGTGCGGGCCGCGCTGCCCCCCGGGCCGGCCGAGACCAGCGCACCCCGCGCCAATCGCTCCCCTCACAAGCTTAGCAAGAGCGACGGAGATCTACGAACCCATACTTACTCTGACACACATATGGGTAATTATTTTGTAATCATTCGAATTCAGCTTCTTACATTGCTATGAATTACATGGATGGTGTATGCTCATCACACTGAAGCGATTCAGCAGATCTTGAGATTGTTATAAGGCCATTAGTGAAAGATAATGTTCTGATGCCATAGATAACTCAAATTGATTATAGAGTTTTGATATTAAGTCCCGATAAAGGTAAAGAACTGGGTGCAGGTGTAAACAGCCCGATGTTAAGACATTAGGAAAGGATATCAAGAGTTTTAAGCATAAAGTTTATTTGAACTTTGATTTCAGGCGATGTCCGCCGCAGTAGTTGGTACAGTGGACCTTCAGAAGTATCCCTTGACGACATAGACCTCGTAATGTCTAAGGTAAATACTATAAATACTAAAATATTGCCTTTTTTTTATAACAGGGTAAAGTTTTCTTTACAGACACTAAGCTATTATTTTTATTATATATTAATATTAATATTTTATTGGTTAATTTTGGGTGCTATATATGTATATAATTAGCAAAACATGCTGTACTTTAATAATATTTTGTAAAATCTTGTTTTACTATGTATTAAAGCGATAATAATAATGACGATGAAAATATAATGCAGTAATATACCAGGTATGAATGTGCTCATGTTATGTTGTGTAAAAAATGTGTTTTCCTACCCAGGAGTCGAAGCACATCCCCGCAGGTCAACTGTCGCGTTACAGCGGTGACGGACAGCTCGCGTCCGCGACTGCGCTCGCGCAGCCTTTCAACATACACTCTGTCGCCTCCTTCGACGATAGGTATGTACTATTTGTTTTACTTTCAACTTAAGTACTTCTATACTAATATTATAAAGAGGTAAATTTCTAAGTTTGTATGTTTGTAAGTTTTGTATTTAGAGGTAATCTTTGGAATCGCCGGTCGGATTTCCAAAATTCTTTCACTGATAGATAGCTACAATGTTCCTGAGTGCTGTAGGCTAAAACATCACGCTGCGATTAAATGTAGCCGAGCAGCGACTGAAACAGCGCGAGAGTAGCTAGTCGTTAATATAATTGGTAGAATACAAATCATTTTTTTTCTAGTTTCTATAAAAACCTTTAACTTTGCGTTAAATATGGGTGAAATTGTTTGTGCAGTATGTCGGACCGTCGGTCGCTCCTGTCGGTGGCGTCGGGCATCTACGAGGAGATCCCCGACCTGCCCGAGGGCACCGACACCAACGCGCTCTGCACCATCACCTGCGACGTACCCGACGGTGTCTTCAAGGTAACATTCTAACCCCTCTTCTAAACATTTTAAGCATTTTTCCTACATCTTTTTAATTAGATCATATTTTACAGAATTTAACATACCTTGCCATTTTCTTGATTTATACGAGTTAAAAATCGATACTCATATTATGAAACTGCAGAGTTTACGCACCAATCTCCGGAACTATTGGCTTTATTTGGACGATAAACAATAGATAAACGAATTGAACAATTATTTTTGTTTTTGTTAGTTCATTTATCGAGGAAGGCTATAAAACTTCACGCTATTATCTGTAGGGGCCAAGCAGCGGGTGAAACCGCTTGAGAGTAGTTAATATATAATCAAATAACTTTTAAGAGGTAAAACTATGTTCTTTTGAATACAACATTCCCAACTTATATGTTCTTCTGTTGAGCAAACACTTGCTACAGAGATGGTAAAGAATAAGACAAATGTTAAATGTGTGTATGTGTGGGTGCAGGCCCTGTGCGCCCCGCTGTCGGAGGAGCCGACGTACGAGTGTGTGGGGGACTGCGTGTACGCCACCATGCGCAGGCGCAGGCCGCCGCCGCTACCGCCGCGACATCCCTTCAGGTACCTACTTCCTTTATGCTAGATATTTCAATGCTGTGGTTTCACTATGTTACTGCAACAGTGTCAACATATATTGTAATGTGTGTCCCCGTGCAGTACGTTGAAGCCGGGCGTGGGCTGGGCGCGACTGGGCACAAGGCGGGGCGCGGGGGGCGCGGCCGGGGGCGCGCCGCGTGAGCACAGCGTGACGCGCCACTCGTCGCTGGGCTCCCTGCCTCGTGCCGCCGGGCTGCCTGCACCCATACCCGCCTCGCACACCAACACGCTGCCCAAGCGACAACCCTTCAGTGTCTTCCGGTAACTACACAACTCGTGACATTAACTGCTATCGCTTTACTAGCTAACCTATCATCACATTTAAAATAACTTTTTGCCCTTAGGAAACGCCTCAAAAGCGACTCCCGCGTTACTGGCTCGCAGAAATCGGAAACATCGAAAGAGAACAAAGACGTGGAAACCAAAAAGAAGAAGTTCGACTTCACGCCGACGCGGGACATATTCAAGAGCTTCAAGGTGAGTCGCAAGATGAAGAACTTGAAGATCACGTCGGGGACCCTCGCCAAGGGGGAGACCAAGAGCTGCGAGTTCCTCGACGACACCGAGCACGTCCAGCCCAACCGCTGCTCCAAGTCCGTGGAGTGCCTCGAGAACGACTTCGAGTACGAGGCCGACCTCTCCATTGAGCTGACGGAAGACAGCATGGCCGCCCTCACCCTCCCTCAGCAGATCGTAGACCTCCTCCTCGGCCACGAGCAGATGAGCAAAGTGCGACTAAAAGACCAAATCGAGAACGACTACATGCCAATGTCGCCCATCATCCCGCCCGCGCCCATGGAGCACCACTACATAGTCATGTCGCCAAGGACCAATATCGCCTGAACTAGTCGCCCCGCTAACTATAAGTTACTCTAAGCTGTAAGTATTGACACGTTGACAGTTTATGTATATGTTTAGTATGTCTGGATGAAAAAATGGTTTGACCAAAGACCATTCTCGAAGAGATTGTTTTCGTATTTGTCGGCTTGTTGCGGTTTTTTGCACAATTTATTTAATATTAACGGTTTTTTTAAACTTGCTGGAGTAGACGTAATTGTATTGTATTGATTGGATCGCTCGAGCAATGTCCATAGTCTACTTAAGTATATTTATTGACAGATTCCAAAAATATATGGGCATTGTTTGTGCTTTGTCATTCTCTCTACAATGTATCGTTGATGATATTACTCGGACACGCTCACCGCTTGTGGCTCACATATCAACGTTGCCCGCGATAGGCAAGGTAGCAAGTAATTATCTAATATAATGATGGTCGATAGATTTATCGATAAAAATTACAAAATATCGAATTGATTCGGAAGGCGTATCGAATCGTTGAAAAGACTAACTGATGTCTTATTGAGACATCTGTGTTCGTATAGACTGCTTTATTGATCTGAATAGGGAATTTTTAAAAGACAAATTGTTACCCTGAAGTTTATAATATTGATATAAAATACCTACATAACATCACACGTGACGTAAATTCGTGGGAATTAATGAAATAAAGAAACATATATTTTTAAACTCTCATTTTATGTGATGGCCTAAAGCTCTCTAAATAAAACCATGATAAACTAATTTATAATACGTTTTGAGAAATATATTTTACAATATACATACATATTATTGGAAATATTTATATGTTTTTGGTGTTTAAAATGGAAAGCGATGGTTTCTAATTCTCTTTTTAAACTTTTAAATCCTCTTTAATGCGTTCAAACTATGAAAATATTGATATTAATAACCACATCTACGGCTTATTCAATGAAAATTAGGTCCTATTCTTTTGACATAAGAATCACACTTCGTGCACTGCAAAAATATTTTTGTAATACCAATTTATAGCTGCAGCTGCTTATCGTCTAAATTTTAACGCAATATGAACCAAAATCGTTTGACAGAACTGTAAATTAAAGTTGGCTATTTATCTTGTGTAATTTTCAAATTGAGAACGCATTTACCGTTTCGCTTAAATAAAAAGAAAATTATATTTCACGATATTTAAAATGAAGACACGTGCTATGTTAGAAAAGTTTTTATACCTCCAAAAAACATGGTATAATGTATTTTTGCTATAAAAAGCTTTATGACATAGAAGCAGACTTAATAATTCAAGTTTTAAACCATAAACTACTCAAAAAGAAATCACACCTGCATCCATTAATTTTTCAATATACTTGTTATTCATATTTTTTGTATAATTCAATGGTATTGGAGGTAAAAATAGGAAAAAGTCACAACATGCTATTTTATACAAGATTCATAGAAAGATATCGTTTTTGACATTTCGAAAATAGTATTGAATTTGACTAGTCGGAAACTACAATACCGCCAACGTATCTTGGCGAGTCTGAAGTTAGCCGATTAGCTGCGCAGTACACAATTTTGTTCCTAAAAGATCCATTACGCAGACAAACGGCTTACTTCAGACTCGCCAAGATACGTCGGCCGTACTGTACCGAATTAAATTTGACTAGTTAGAAACTACCCTATTGCTGATAATGTCAAATATCACACAATACTTAACTAGTATGACAATTGACAAAAAAGAAATAATTCTGTGCTTAAAAAACTTGAACCAACTCAAAATGTTGACGCAAAGAAAATGACGTCACAATACACAATCCCGTACAAAGTTCATAGAAAAAAGACGATTTCGATAATTCGAAAAGAATATTGAAATTGACTAATTGTCTAATACCCAAATATGAAATAATATATTCTTTAAAAAAATGCTACGCGAGTGCCAAACTTTAACAAAACCTTCTTTGTCTCTCTCTAACATTTTACATTTGCATCATTATGTAAGCGTAAAACAGAGACAGCAATACCTTAGGTCTCTTTACCTCGCTCTATGACTAACAAGGCTTAGTAAAAATGACAAAATTTTGGTATTGAGGGTTGTATAATGTACTATTCTATATTTCTGTCTTTTACTAATAGTAAGTAAAGAGAGAGATAGCAATGGCCGTAAACTATTTTGAACAAATTTCGTTGTGAAATTGAGAGGAAATTTTGAAATGAAATATTCAACCAATTCTTGCTATCCCTTTCTGGTCTATACTATTAGTAAAGGACAGCAATAGTTTAAAATGTGAAGAGGCGTTGTAATTATTTACTAGTAACGAAAAAAATTATTGTATGTAGTATGATGTAGGTTAGGTTTGTTTGTTTGTATATGTTGGGTCGAGTACTGCCAAATATATAAGTTTAAGGATGAAAATGTTCTTAGACCAGTCTTATACACCTATCTTATTGGTAGGTTTGGCTAAAGTAGAAAAGAAAATACAAAACAAAACTTAAAAAAGAAAATAAATATCCTTTCTATCCTTCCCCTCCCCCAATCCTTCTCCAACTCTCAAATCTCCAAATTCCTAATACCCAAAAGGTCGGCAACGCATTCGTAACTCGTCCGTTATTGCGGGTGTCCACGAGCAGCGCTGATTGCTTACCATCAGGTAATCCGTCTGCTCGTTTATCGACCTATAACATAAAAGAAAATTGACTCATTTTGTATCAAAATTCTGTAATTTGTAGCCAAATATATCAATAAATAAGTAGTTGGTCATAAAAGTCTTTCTTTACGAAAGGCCTAGGTAATGAGAAGTTAGACCATTTTAAGTAAATGCGTCCTGAAATTAAGAAGCATAATTAAAAAAGTCAAACTTCTAAAAAGAAATCATTCAAGAATGAAGCTCTTTTAAAAATGTATTCTTTTGAGAAGCATACTTTTACTCAGATCAAATTGAATGTGGAAATGGTCAGTGGTTGTGAATAAAATAACGAAATCAAGGCAGCTATTTCAAATTAATTTTCGTATTTTATTTATAACTTATTTTCTATTTCTATTATTATGTAACTATAAATAGAGTTTGAAAAAGATTTCCATAATTATTGTGAGACCAAAGCACGCTTTACGGGCCATAATTTTAAAAGGAGGGATTCCTTTTCATCTATTAACAGTTCAAAACTTTTACCGATTTCTCTAAGTAATCTACCAATTGGTAGATTTGGCTATTTGATAAACTCAGATGTGATTTTCGCATAAAAAAAATATCAATAAGTTCATCTATCATATTCTAAGTAACCAAATCTACCGACAGATTATTAAAACTGGTCATAAGATATCAATGAAAATCGAGTTAAAAGATTTACACACATAACTGTAATTACGACCTTAATAAAAGCGTGTTATGATATAATTTGGAATAATAGGTAAAAAAACGTTCGTTCATCAAAGAAAGACTGAGAAGGGACAAGACTAATGTATTTTGAAGATTTATTATCTTTAAGGCTCCAGTATTACCATGTTTGTGGAGGGCGAAGGGAAAGCATTGTATTGACTAAGTTCTACGACACTACGTGACAGAATAGCACTGATTTAGTAAAGACTTTAATACCTTTAAGACATATTTATATTTAATTTTTATTTTAGGAAGGAAAAGTATGTTTATTCGCCTCTATACCTACCGTACAAGATAAAGGCGTGATGGTGTATCGTTTTACAAATTAATATTATATAAACAATAATAAAACATGTTTATTGAAACAGCATATTTCGTAAATATCAGATCGTTTCGTATGTAATGAAATGAAATGTTGCAATTATATGAAAATTCTGCTTTTTTTGTTCACAATCAGCATTATTGTTTTTCGATGAAATGTATAACAATATTATTGTAATTCCGCTAAAACTGCATTTAATTTTAAAACGTCAGTATTTTTTATATGTTTGTAGTTTCAATTGAAATGTTTGAACATTTGCTTTATATATGGATACATAATGTTTTGAAAAACGAGATGATGATATTTTTTCCTATAATTTATACACCTAATCAACATGACTTTTTGATTCTAGCCCTAGTAATGAAAAGACTTCAGTGAGCATAATAAAATAACTATAAACTCGTCAGTCACTGCCAATTTCCGTCCAGTGCGTTGGAGAATGAGATCAATATAATTATGATTTAAATAACTTATTTTTTTATTCTTAAGTTTGTCTCGTAAAGATCTGTCACGTGTGTCGTGGAACCAAAGTCTGGCTTCTATATGTATACGGCTTAATTTGCTATATGTTGTGATATTTAATGCTAAATACTTGTTAAAACTTCTATAAGCTTGAAGGCTTTTGTTGGTTATACCTATTTGTATGTAACGCGTTGCCAAATGTTCGATGTGCGGCGCCAATGTTTGTGTGTTTAGTCAAAAAGCAGTATTCAGCTGATCTTATAAATATTTAGCTTTACTGTGTAGCTTATTTCGTTGGTGTCATCCACAGTTCGCAGCATTAGAGTGTAAAGGATAGGGTTGTAAGGTCTTATGATGTTGCGACGTTCTGAGATACTTGAGACATTATTTATTACCAAAATTCATAAAACGTTTTGCGAATCTCAGAAATGTCGTAACATATGACTATCTTGTTGTAGCATAGGCTCAGATCTCTGTAATTTCAAAGGAGACGCTGGAACTTACAATTCTGCATTTCTCGCAGTTCACAACAGGAGCTGGTTAAATCATAGCTTTTGGTAATATATTAATATTGTGAAGTATTTGCAATGGTTTGGTATCTGGCTCGAAAGCTACGATTAAACATTTTCCTACATCGCGAGCGTCTCCTGAGAATTGGCCAACAGGGTGGATAGAATTGTTTAGTTAGAAAAATTTACTCAGAATTGTGGATGACTTGCCATAGTCTAATTTAGGTTAGTAGGTCGCGTTCATATCAACCACGTTCTGACCAATTTTGTATCTAGCTGTAAAGTACTTAAACTTATTACTTACACTTAGAAAATGAATGAACACTACGTTCAGGCACACAGCACTACCTGCGTTTTTTTTTATCAAAATATGATTAAAGATGACTCGTTTGCCCTGCTGAGTAAACAAACTGATTTATTAATAAAAAAATCTAAAGGATTATCAGGGAAAGTTCAAAAACATTGTTAGAGTCCTAACACACATTAAATAAAGTAGAAATTCGATTGATTTTATCTGATTACTTAAATCTTTTCACCGTCAGATTGCGGATGTTTTATATAAATTATAATTCATAATGATGATTGCATAAGTTTGTGGTGCGTTCGTGATTCAATTCACACAATTGTCTATTGTAAATAATTAAGAGGCCTAATAAGCGTTTGTTTATTTTTTGTAAGTGATAAATATAATAATTTTTGTTGTTTTGTTTCGCCTTATATAAACAAAATATCATGAGGATATATATTTTATTCATCCGCTTTGCTTTTGATTACAATTTGTTACCATTTTTCTTGATATTTTGTATGTTTTCATTTTATTTTCGGTTGATTCTTAGAGCTCTATTGTGAAAGGTTTTTTACTGTCGGCATTTTATTAGTAAAACGTGGAGTTAGGAAGTCGAGCGAAACATAAACATAAAGGAATGAAAATGATCCATTTACTTTGATCAGTAGATAATATTTTTTTTCTACAAACTCGAGTTCCTAACTACCACATTTTATTAAAGTGTAAATGTGTTTCGGTACTGGATGGCAAGTAGGAATGTTTAATCTAGAATATAATATATTATATGTATTGTATAAGTATGTTGTTTAACATAATAATGATTATGTATTCAAATAACTTCGGCAGCTGTTGGCTTGACCATCTGGTAAATATGCTTTGATTAAAGATGTGGAGAGCTCTAAATAAAATGTTATATAAAATCATTGTTGGTTACAGAAAGACAGTATTTTTTTATTTGTATATTAGACAGCTAGTTCGGAATTCGGTAATGGACCAAATTGTTTTTTTTTGCGTTTATTTATTGTACTGCGAAGTGTCGATAAGTAACATTGCATCGTGTTATGCAAATAAAGTTTGTATGTCAATGAAAGTGTTTTATTTGTCATGCCCTTAAACTTCAAAAGGATTAAATCATTACATGAACGCCATCAGGATTACTGTCAAGGAAGTTCAGATGTTTTATTATTTAAATTAGAAATTAACAGATGTCTTATATGAAGGGACTCTCCAGGCCTAAGCTAGCTCTCGTATTTTGTTTGGTACTTGACCTCACATTCCTTACCCTGCCCATCATTGGGCCCATTTGTGGTACTCTGGCTCTTTGAACGCTGGTTGAGCGGTGGCGGTCGGCGATTCTCCACAGACCCAGGTATAACCCACCACCCCACATGGTCACATGGTTTCCTTCATGGCGTTCAACAGGTAGGCCACACATCAAGAATTGTTTTCACACGAGAGCTTCGATGTAAGAATATTTTAAATCCACTTCTGCCAAGGTCACAGAGGGTGTGATATAGAGAAACGAAATGACGCAACGTTTGTGTGCAAAGTTATAGCTCACAAGATTGTAAATGGCCAGTATTTGTGGACACTCAATTTCCGGGCACTTTCAAGAATACCTTGCAGCCACTGCATCCATCACAAAGTTTTAGGCTCGAATTCTTTTTACGCGAGAACGCGTAAAAAGGATTTCAGCAAGGTTTTTATTGACTGTAGAGACATAATTGACTGGACCAACTCTTTGAGACAATTAAAATATTTATAAATATCATTAGGGATTTTTCCAGATGTGTTTTCAATATTTTATTTTACTCATATGCAACTTACCCTTAAAAAATGCGGAGTTTACCTGCAAGTGATTGTTGAATGAATTAGGTATATGTAGCAGGTAACGATGAAGTTTCTTGTTCGTTCTGCTCCATTCGAATCAATATTTTGGAACGAGCACATAGCTTTACGAACGACAGACGAACAGTCTGACGGAATATTATTCTATTTTGACGTTTCAAAAGTACCTGTATATGGTTTAGTTGAAGGAAATGTGTTTGCCTTTTAGGCAGTTTAGAGTTAAATCAAACGGAGAGGAAAACTAAAAATTAAAACATAAGATTGTTACAATAATAAATAAAACAAAGGTTATCTTTATCAAACGCTTTATTTTCAGCCAAAAACAAATTACATTATATCACAATTTGTACATTTGTAGCGCAACCGCTGTGCAATTATTATTTATCAGCAATTTTAGCTGTCTTACATTAAATTGAATATGAGATTTTTTATAGAATAAACTAAAGGATGATCCAGAGTTTGTACGGAATCTGGTCACTCTTTCCAATAGCTGTGTGTGCATCGTGATAGGTAATTTTGAGCTAAATAGAAGCTTCTATGGCGCCAAGAACAAAATCTTAGTTCAGAGTTATCTTTGAAAAATATGGTGGTTCGGCCGGACTCGGCTTCTAGTAAACTTTCTGAAGGTGAGACCAGAATTTACATCCTCTTTATAATATCAACACAGTAAATGTAAATATCTCTCATAAAAATACGAAATAACAAAAAGCAAATACCTAAAGGCAAAAATAATATAAATTGAAAATATACATGTAAAAAACTAATAAGTACATGATGTGATTTATTATGCATATAGTGAGCTTACCTATCAATTGTAGGTACACCCCTATCTATATGATGTTTATGTGGAACAGACTTTAACACATCGTGTATTTTTTTAAGTTTAAAACTACAGATGCAAAGATAAATAGGTAATATAAATTTTCAATCAAAACTAAAGTTTATTTTTACTCTTTCTCCCCTCTACTTCCAACTCCCTTCATCATCTCATAAATATAATCGAGTATGTAGTTATTTAGTTCTTTGCATAATATAAAAAATAGTATAAAAAAATATACGAAAATGATTAGTGTGTATCAAGCATAGAGTATTTAGTGCACTTTTTGTATCCTACTAGCTGTGGCAAAGATTTGACATACAAATGTACAAATATTAAAGCTGCAAACACGAGACTGAGAACATTTATATAATAAGAAAAACATATTTCTTCCAATCAATCAATTTAAGGGCGAAAAGCACCGCGGTTTTGTTATTAATATACAAACAATAATTCATTACTTTTTGAACAAAAAAAAAATTTTTTTGTTATACAATAAATGATGCAATGTCTTTGGAGATCTCAGATTTTATACGAGTAAACTATAATATACAAAATAAGTAATTTTATTTTTTTGAAAATAAAATTTTAAAATTAAACCTAATCATAAAATTTAGAAACCGAAACAATTTAAAATTAAATAATACGTATTTTTAATACTTTCAATTTAGATATTTTTGAGATTAAATTTAGAATTCATAAAAAATATTATTGCTAAAAAATATACATAGCAACCATACTAAATACTAGTAATTGCGACATTCAAAGAGAGCTGTAGACAAAAAAAAAATGTTTTATAATTCAAACCCAACATAGATTATAAATATCCCTTCAAATTGGTCTCCTTAACCTACTTATGCTTAAAAATCTTCACCAAAATGACCATTCAATTCCTCCTATATGTATAAATAAATGCGTTTCTAGGACATTCCAGTGACAATTATCAAAACTGGACTTGTGTGAAAACGTGCTAAACTTATCTAGTACCTGGCTAGTCAAATTCAATGCTGTTTGACAATTCCAAAAAACGACAATTTTCTTCGAATTCTGTATCAAATTTTGAAGTCGTCACATAATGTTTGGCGTCAAATACATATCTTATATAGCGTAAGACACAAGAACTATGTTTAAAATTTTATTGTGATTATTTTAAAATAAATACTTACTACTAATCAATACAAAATTATCCTCCCTTCGGATTGACCAACCATATTTGGTATTATACGTAAAATTCACGTTTTAGATTAGTATGTATAATCATACTTTCATTCTGACTTCGGACCTAATTTAAGATTTTTTCTAACCATTTTTTCAGAAATAAGTACGATATTTGACGTCAAAACATTATGATATCATGTTAAGACCTCATTCAAAATTCATAGCAAAAGTATCTGACATTTCAATAAAAGTATTGAATTTGACTAGTAACAAACAGTCCCATTGCAGAAAGTATAAGGACCTCCATAATGCCACTAGCATTCACCAAAAAGGTTAATATCCGAGTAAGGATTCACCTAACACCTAAATATAAGCCTCTACTTAACTAATGCTTAGTCTTCAAACATACAAACGCATACTAGAATAAATTGTTCTTGTTCATTACTTACTATGACTATGTATCAGGGATATAACTAAACTATTATAAAATTATCTGATATATTGATATTGCCATTGATGTCTGTAAACCTAGTTTTAAATGCATTTTTCATCGAATTGTTATTAGGTACTACATACTTTATTATTTACGCCCCGATTCTATATAGAAACGATTTTGAACCTGTTTTACTATGTATGTACTGGGAACAATTTCACTTTATGGTGAACTCGTATGAAACAGGAACTTTTTGAATTAGTTGAATGGAGTTTCTGTCGAAAATCCAGATCAAACCAGACACGATCGGTTTTCCACTTCGGCCTTTTTTTGTTCATCATAAAAAAACTTATCTAAGCAATAACTAATAACTATTTTAATTTTTTTTATTCATTTTCAACAAACCTATTTTGTATTTTTAGAAGATTACAATCTCATATCGTCTGTACAGTTGCATGCATAAAAATCTTGCTTGATCATTTAAGTTGTGACAAATGCTATTATGATTTCCATACAATATAAATTAAACTAAACAAAAACCTTGATTCGTGTAACCTAAAATAAAATTGTGATCGTTATAATAATACTTTTTACACCTACAACAATTGCCAATCTAACAATTTTTACATAAATTGCATGTATCAAAAAACACATAAGCTAAATACTGCAGTGTCGAAACATTGCGTGTAAGATAACATTGCTTACACATAATTATACTTATATATTGAGAAATACAAGTATTCATAAGTCGTCATAATAATTAGCGGTTGCACAATCCTTGCCTTATTACAAAATAAGCAACAAATATCGTGTTTCCTATCTATATGTATAACTAAATAATCAAATATCACAATTGCATTATTATAAACACAAGATACCAACGGGTGCATTTATTAATAACTAGTTTCAACCACCGGCTTTGCTCGCGTTACCCAGATGAAAAGACCTATGTGCTATTACAGATATTCCTATAATCCACATCTGTGCCAATTTACTTAAAGAATCTTTTCAGTGTTTTTCACTTGAAACAATAACTAACATCAATTATTATTTGTCTACACTAAGAAATATTTGCATTTTTGACAGTAGTAGGATATATCACGGGACCACAGTGTCCCGAACCTTTGGAAGGGGTAAGAGGGGCCAAAACCAACTCGCAGAGGCCCTTTGAACAACTTTAATGTTAGTAAATATTATTAGTTATTTCACAACAATTATGAAATAGTAGTAGCTAGTAGCGCGTTTTCACCCGCTACTTGGCTCCATTTAATAGTAGTGTGATGTTTTATAGCCTGTAGCACTCAGGAACACTGTAGCTATCTATCAGTGAAAGAATTTTGAAAATCCGACCAGCGGCTCCAAATATTACCCCCTAAATACAAACTTTCAAATTTTGCCTCTTTATAATATTAGTATAGAAAACTTTAATCACCTCACTATCGAGACTTGAAGTTGCGAGTGCTGACATAACGAATAGCTTATCTATTTCAATTACGCTGACAAATGTATTCCAGCGGAAAACTTGGAAAATTTACACAACAAAATTATTCCGTTCGGATTGCACAACCAAATCTGGTGTCTATTATTATACCTACGTAAAATTTTACAATGTATAAAACAGGCCAGATTTCGACATCATTCTATATCAGATTATTTCCCATTCGCTGTCTAAATGGTCGTCGGGGGACAGTAACGAATGATCTTTGAAGCCATTTTGTTTAGTTTCCAATTTCAATTCTATATTCTCCAAGTTCCACGTGTTAGGTAGCTGAACGACTTTAGGCACTAAGTCTATGGGGCTAGGGTCCTTTATTGGTGGTTTTGTAGGTTTGGGGATGTGTTGGGGTGTTACCTCTGTTGGTTGTATGTCGATGTGTCGGAAGGTGGGCGCTGGTGGCGGCGGTGACTCGGTGTCTAGCTTTGGGCTATTTATACTGAGAGATTCCAGGTTCAACATCTTCGCTAATATCTTCTCTTTCTCTTCTATCTGCTTCTCCAGTAGTTCGTCGTTCGGTTGTGGTATGGCCCTAGAACATTAGTGGGGAGGTTTTTAGTTAATTAGGTAAAAAACATATCTTTAAGAAATTTACCGATTTAAACAAGTCCTACTATCTTACTTATATTATAAATGTGAAAGTTTGAGAGAATATATGGATGTATGTTTGTTAATCTTTTACTCAAAAACTGTTGGACCGAGTTGGATGAAATTTGATATGTGGGTCTATCTATGATACCCTAGATTAACAGATGGCTACTTTTTAACAAAAACCACGCGGGCGAACCCGTTGGCGGAAGCTAGTTCAACATAATATATAAACACAGAAATCACTTAAAAGTATTTTGGCTCGGGAATCGAACCCAAGACTACTTCTTTGCCAAGTACTATTATCCCACTAAAAAGGTAATCTAATATAATTACAATGGTATAGTCTTACCCGGTAGTACTCATATTCATGACACAGGAGCTGTTGTAGCTGACGTTGTCTGGCTTCCTGACTGGTGTGGCCACGCGCGGCGTGCTACCACCGGACCCCCCATCTCTCCGTCTACTGCGTCTACTGCTGTGGATCAACTCCCCATCGTACTTCTTCTCCATAATACTATTATACAACTTCAACTTTCTTTGCAACTCCTCCGTCTTAACACGCCTGATCTCCTCAGCATCACTAGACACATCCCTGAACTCGTTCACTATGGATTCTAGAACGTTCTCTGAGAGGTCATGCGGCAGGTGCTTGATGGGAGGAAGTTCAAAACACTCCTCAGCACTGGCTACGGTCCCGGTCTCAATAATCTCATTCTTCGTGAACATGGATATAGGTTGTTCCAAAACGCTAGATATGTAGGGCACAGTCTGATCTATGTGCGTGAAGTCGCGGACTGAATTGACAGCCTGCTGGATCGATGACGTCAGCGATTTCGTCATCAAGTTTATTGGCTCCTCTGTAGAAAAAATGTGTACTTTTAAGGGTTGTAATATTAATATATTACCCATATTTATATTGATTGAAGATCCTTTTCTAAGTACTTAGAGGTACTTTTAAAAGTTGACTAAATAGGTAACTGTGTTTGTAAATTGGACAAAACAGTTGAAAAATTAATAATAACGTGTAAGTGCATGTTTAAAAATGATTGAGAAAAACTTTTGTTCTAAATGAATTCCTGCTATTTATGTTTTGGCGAGATTCGAACTCGTCAAACGTGTCAATAAACTTGTTCGATTTATATTTGAAACTATAAAACAGTAATAACTACAATACATTAGCAGCTAATAAATACGAGCAATAAAAAAATTAAAAAGCATTCTCGAACAGGCAACTCAGGCAAGCCATTGCTCGTATACATACAAATATACATAAAACAGAAGCGAAAGGTGTCTGTCTGGATGTAAATAAAAATGCGTATATATTTTATGCATGTGTATATTTATATATATAGTCAATGGCCATGCTAACAGACAATGCATGAGATTACACTTGCTTGCACACATAACATCACAAAACATTGCATGCATAGAAAAAAAGTACAAAATTGTGCAGAAAAATGCATGTAACAAAAAAACTAACTTAAAAAAATAGAAATAAATTTAAAAAATTTAGTTTGCACATACTCTTGCAAGCAAATGTACTAAACACAAAAATCGTCTCACTACAGCGGGTAACAAGATACAGGTGTTTCTTTATCTAAACATTACATTCTACCCTGTAAGTACTATAATGTTAACAAGCTCAAATAGTTCACCCTGTATATGAAGCTTTTAAAAATAAGCGACAGATCTAAACTACAATAATAACTTTATTTAAGAAGAAAGATGCAGAAATTAATACAAGTATTTCAAGCCATACACCCATTTTTTAGAACACAGTAAACTAATCCTAAGAATAAGCTCAATATAATAAAATTATTCAACGGGCCTCTGCGAGTTGGCTTCGGCTCCTCGCACGCCTTCCTCCAAAGGTCCGGGACCCTGTGGTCCCGTGAAAGGAAAGCCCAATATACAGTATAAAGACCAAATGACTCAATACTTTAAATAATTCATTCAGTATAAAAAATATAACTATTGTTTTACATATGACTTTAACAAAACAAAACTTAATACCGAAATTAAGTAATCAAGTCTTTCCAAACATTATTTTCGTAGGGAAAATACCAACTGACTCCCTATTTAAATGGTATGAGTATGAATCAAGAATTTCTTTGTCTATCTAAACAGGCGGGAGCGAGTATAGAAGCCAAGGTCACGTATTAATTAATCTACTTAGGGCTGAATTTTCAAAAGTCAGATAAATGTTATATAAGGAATAAAATTGTAGCTGTCACTGTCTTAACAAACATTCTGACGCGACAGCATCATAATTATTCCGCAGCTAATTTTGACAAATCAACCCTTAAAATTTAAAAATCAACCCTTAATATACTAAATAATATAAATAAATGACTTAATCAAGTCAACAAGTTCAAGTCTTGCATTTGTAAATAGTTTTTCTTAAACCTTAATTTTTATTATATATTTATTTCTGCATCCACCTTCAATCTGGCACTTAAAATACATAAAGCCAACTTTACAAACACATTAATAGTTAACGCCGTACTCAGAGTCATTTAATTATTACTTAAGTCAGTCCGTTTATTGAGAAAGAAAAAATATTCATTTTTCTCCCACCTTAGGTCGGCTCGTAGCGTTCCGCGCTTCAGAGCCAATAGACCACCACAGACCCAAGGCCCAATAGGGCTAATGTTCAGCCGGGGTTGCGGGGTAAGCGCAATGAGGCACCGCGACCTCGGCCCAGAGCAGGAGAAGGAACGGGGGGTTTTTAGTCAGTAAGAGTCTGACAGTCATTTGATGATTTTCCCCTTACAAAAAAAAAGGTGAGGCGGAGAGATGGTCACAGTCTTACTGATCAATCCCGTTCTGTTATTCTGTTCCAAGCCGAGGCCTTGGTGCATTATTGCGCTTTCTCTCTTTTTTTATTTATAGATTGAGTAATCTGTTAAATGTCTCTAATTACGGCTGTTTTTTACATCACTACGTCATATCATTACACCTATTATAGTCCAAAGGGAAGCCCACATGAAATTTAACATCCAATTTTCACTAGTTATATGGAGCAAGTTATTACCGTACACAGACTTACTATAGCTAACATATTATGTATAAATGTATATAAGGAATGTATAAGTACATAGTATTGTCAATTAAGTACACGAGTCATAGTTTTAGAATAAACTACGGACAAGTTTGTTGAATACTAACGAATAACGACCATACTCAATAACCACTAGATTGATATGATCTAAAAACTAATTCCGATACATATTTAAAAAAGTAAACTAGTGAAATAGAAAAATTTTGTTCCGTACGTCGTGATTTTAAAGCCGCTTGATAAAGACGGGCCGCAAAAAAATGTAGCAAAATAAATACGGTAATTTCGAACTAGCCAAATTCAATACTTTTATTCAAATGTCAAAAACGATAATTTTCTATGAAATTTGTATGAAAAACTGAGTTATGACGTCACAGTATTTTGGCGTCAAATAGCTTACTTATTTCTTAATAATTAGCTACAAATATCTAAAACTTGTAGTGTATCGATCGATCGATGAATAAAAGTATAATTTTTCAATATTTTATTGTATTGAAACGTCGAATTAATTTATTTTTGACCTAGAAATTACCCAATTTCCTCTATTATAAGCGAACTTTCTATATATATAATAGATTTAAATTTTGATATGCTATAAAAATAATAGAACCTTAGCTGTGTGAATCTACTGAAGAATTAGTCATTGAAACAAGGTCGTCAAGAAAATATCACACATACTCGTCTTGCTTAAATATTATAAACAAACCAAAAGAAAAGAGTCACATCTGAAATTTCGCCGAGTTAAACAGGGTTTAAAACCGCCTTTTACACTCAACATACATATTTACCTTCATTTATGTGGCAGATAAATTACACAAATCATGTTCAATATTCATATTTATCTGGTACATAGTGGATAACCGGAATTCGTGAATCAGGCCTTATAGACATAAAAATGACATATTTCAGATGTAATTTTATCTTTATGGCTTATTTACAAACATTCCACGCCGATCTTACCAGCAAACAACATGAAACATCAGACTGTTGTAACATTTAATATCATAAGCAAATAATCAAATAAGTTTTCCAATTTAACACTGTTGCTAAAACGCATTTTGGGTAATACATGAAATATTCAATTATAAAATTATTTTGTTAGGGCTATTCTATTGTCTACTTGAACCGTATAAATATTTATTTCCTAGTGGTAATAGATGTTAAAACTACCAGCCTTATGGTAATATTATTTGAATTTGATTGTTTGTTAAATTAAAAAAAAGACTTACTACACTCATGAAAACGAACAATGAACTTATAATTTATTAAGTAATTTTGAGAATGATATAGTTTCATCATTACCCAGATACTTCCAAAACAATATAAATTCCGAACTTTTAATAAGTTTCGAACCGTAAACAAACATGAAATTGGATAGCTCACTTTAAAGATTAAGAACTCATTCTTCCAAAACCTTATAAAATAAAAAAGCACCTACAATAATGTAACAATTCGCTAGTAAATTAGCACTAAACTAAATATATTATTGTCTATGTTACTTTTATCCTATGTTAACTTACATTGGTTGCTATTTGGTATGATTAAGGCACTTCTAACTACATACTAACTTACATAATAAATATATGGTGTTCTTAATTCAAAATTTCTAGCTCAACCTCTTTTGACAAAACTTCTGTACAGTTAATGTCAAAAATTTATTTCAATCCATAGATGTTATATTGAGACTTGTTAGTAGCTAAACTGTATTCTCGTTTAGCGTCATGAAGAAATTTTATATATTACTTTAGCAGCTGTAATATTGAAAAAAATCCTATATTATACCTAATATATGTTCTAAAATTAAACTAGTTTCTAATTTACAATAATCTCAGTGTTATGTAAACGGCGTGTTTACTATAAACTTTATAAGTATATTATCTAACAAATTAATTCTATATGAACTGAATATGACATAGCGTTCACTTATGTAACAATCTAGGAGTAAATTGGGGGCAATAGAAATTTTTTTTTTATTAACATTATTATTCTCTACTTTTAAGTGAACCTATGTCTAACTGGAATTATCTGCCTAATTATATGATACTCGTAATGTAAAACTAGATTCAAAAGTAAGTACAACATAATCGATTTTATGTTATTGAAAAAATAAGCTTAATAAACACAAAATGCCTGAGAGTTGGGTTAGATAATAATTAAATGGCTCTCGCTGATAGTCATTTAACACATATAATTATTTGATAATAACCTCGCCACCTACGGTATAAATTGATGTGGCAAAATAAATTCAATAGAAAAGTCTAAACTAATCTACAAGTTTAGAATGATGGCACTATACTATGCTTGTATTATAAGTCGCCTCAACATACAGATAATTATAGCGCCTACAGCTTTAGTAATAGAGTTAAATTTCGTTTAACACTACTTTTAAAGAAGGTTGAGGACCAAAGAGTTTTTAATATAATACAATGACTACAACATTCCTGAGGGCGTACATAAAAATTACATCTTAATACATAAAATTAAGTCGTAATCCTAATATTAAGTCTACTACTCTATGTATATCGCCTTGGAAAAAGTCTATCAGACTAAGTACTGACTAAAAGCACACACATGATTCTTAGCCTACATCTTGAAAAACAGCTAAAAAAATAGACATTGATTTTGCCATCAAGAAATTAGAACTTTATAACAATAGAATACGGTTGAAAGTATATAAATAAACACGACTTAACGCCACTAACGAGAGTTACAGCCTTGGAAATATTTAGGACGATTTCTTTTTTAAATATAGCATCAATTTTAAAGTCTAACTAAATGCAGTAGATATGTATATAATAT